AATACGAAGTAAGGGGAAGTTTCAGCCCAACAGCTCATAAGACGTAAGGTTCTGATTGCTGTTCAAAAATAATAATAAATAAAAAAAAATATAAATTTCTAAATAAAAACAGAACTGTAGATTTAAACTTCGAATTTACGGAAACTTAGGAATTCCTGTAAATACAATCCCAGAACTTCCTGTAAACACAAATGATATTGTCCAGAATACTGTATATTAAGTGTACCAGACAGTCAGAAATAGAACTAAGAGTTGTTTCAAGTGAAACCAATGAAAATATTTGATTTTTATACCGCTATTGCAGTATCTTAATTTCGTCCCACAAATTATGTATTTCTATTTATAGTTACAAGATCATTCTGAGTACAATTTAATAATTATTTTTAAAAGTTCATCAGCAATCAATCGATTCCATGTAAATAAAGTAAATGATCAAATCCAGAAAATCAGTTTAAATAAACACATGTAATTTATATATGGAATAAACATCGTATTTATTCTTGTCGATGTTTACAAAAATAGAGTCTTATATTACTTCTTACCGGAAGGGTGTCTTACCGAAGAAGGTAAATATGTTATTTATAGATCCCTAATTATGTGTATTTAATTTTGGATTTTACAAGAAAAGTATTTTATCTTGTATGAACTGTACTGCATGTTTATAAAGGGTTGGTAATAATAAAGTCGACGTCCAATTTATAAGCTCTTTTATTTAACTTCCCATAGGGTAAGTTATAGTAATCGCAAAAAAATCGTAAATGAAAATTTTTTATATATCTTTACGTTTCAAAGGTTTCTGAATATTTTGGCATACCTTAGAAAAAATGAATGTATGTGTGTGTGCGGAAACAAATTTTCGTCGACGATTTCGGGAACGCCGATCAACCGATTTGAATAATTTAAAAAAACATTCGATTCGTATTGATAAGGAGACGTGCTGATTAGTTTTTGGCGAAGGCAGATCTAGCTGTTCCAAAGATACGGGGCAAAAAGTGCCAAAAACGGTAACTCAGTTTTTAAGAGAACGGAGCGCCTGCTTTTAATTCATAAAAAATTTTACTTGTATTGACAAGATAAATAACTGATTAAATTTTTGAGAAGGCAGATCCGGCGGTTATGGACTCTCAATAAAAATAAGTTTAACTAGTGGGGTGGGTGGCATCGTGCCTTAAGGCAAATTGCTGGAACTTCCCGTACCGTAACGAAACGTTCGAGGAATATTGAATGTTTTCAAATAGATTATTATAAATATTGTATTATTGTCTAATATTTATAATAATTATATAAACTGAATTGCAGAGTTGAAATTATTTGTTTAAAGTATATTAGAACTATAGTCAGAATTAAAAATAAAATCTGAATTATTTTCGATATACAAAAAATTTTAAAAAAAAAAAAAAAAAAAAAATGGTACAAAATTTTTTTTCCAAAATCAATTATTTTCTTAAGACAAGCAGAAAGTTCTTTGAATCAATTGAATCGGACGCTTAGTTCTCTCAAAAACTGCCATTTTTTGTACATTTAGCTCTGTATCTCCGAAATGGCTGGGCCTGCCTTTGCGAAAAACTAATAACCCTTTCTCCCAATCATTACTAATGGAATGTTTTTTAGATCATTCAAATCGGATGCTCCGTTCTCTCAAAAACTCGATTTCTATTTTCTGCACTCTTTGCTCCTTATCTCCGTAACTGCTGGACCTGTCTTTGCCAAAAACTAATCAGCTCTTCTCCTTATTAATAGGAATCGAATGTTTTTTAAACCATTCAAATCGGTTGATCCGTACGCCCGAAAACGTGGACGAAAATTTGTATCCATACATACATACACACACACACACACACACACACACACACATCCATTTTTTCTGAGGTATGCCAAAATGTTCAGAAACCTTCAAAACGTCGAGAAATGTAAAAATTTTCAATTCCGATTTTCGGCCCATTACAATAACTTACCCTACGGGAAGTTAAAAAAATGTCATTTTGGCGGTCAAAAATGCTTATTGGACATATGTACATCAAATTATCAAAGATTTTAATAATGTGTACACATTTTGTGTAATTTTTTTGGGTTCTGTACAAGATTTTTAATTACGTTACGGGTAGGTCCAGCAATTTGCCTTAAGGCACGATGCCATGCACCACTACTTTCATTTGACTTCAATTCAAAAGTATCTAAAATTGTCTAGACCAATATATATGAATATAATACAATAAGATCTGAAATGTCTAGACACATTATTATACTGGGATTTGTCGAGACATATCAATAAAATATTTTGCAAATATAGAAATGAAGTTAAGGGAACAAAACCAAATCCTAAAAAAAACATAATAGTATTTAAGTTTATAATTAACAAAAATTGTTTTTATATATCGGGTTACATCAGTTTGATATGAGGTAAAATTATTGATAATAAATATAGCTAATCGTATCTAACATAAATTATAATGTCGCAAAGGGGTTGAGCATGTGAATGGAAAAGTTTATGGCAGCAAGTTTAATTAAAAATAAATTATGATCGCATGTGTAATACACATACACACATGTATAAATAGCAAATTAAAAAATAAATGTAATACTAAAATAATTATTTGGTTAATAATAATAGACTATTATTTTTATGATCTCAAAATCAACCAAATTATTATTCTTTATTATACTATACTATACTATTATTAACAGTCTATAAACGAAGAAATATGTCAAAGTATGTACATATTTAAATTCCGAAGGAGAAGTTTATGTTTTCATCAAAAAATCCGATTCGCTAATTTTATGTTTTCTCGACGGTTCAAGCCATTCTGAATCGAATGAGACCAAATTTGGAAAAAGTATGTGTGTGTGTGTATGTGAACAAATTTTTGCCGTAAATAGACATTTTCTCAAAAACGGCTGATCCGATTTCAAAAATTTAAAAGCCATTCGATGTATCTCAATGAGGACTGTCGTTTGTCAGTTTTGTGCGAAGATCGGCCGAGCCGTTTCTTTGTAAATCGCAGAAAAGTGAAAAATTTTTCGTCCACGTTTTAGCCCGCAATTCTGAATCGATTTCGAAAGATATTGGTTGGGAATCGTGCTGATTAGTTTTTGGTAGAGATCGGCCAGGCCGTTTTCTTGTAATAAAGTGTTAAAAAATATTTTTTCGACGATTCTTTTAATTTTTTTTTTCTTTTTTTTTTTGGACGGTAGATACCACAGTCTTCCAGATCATACTAAAATATTACGGCCCTACGACAAATCGTTTAGCTTTAAAAATTCGTCAAAATTTGCAAAAATTGGTATCGTTTTTTTGGCATTTGTCAATATTAGACCTTTGATCGACGTTTTCTCAAAAACGCCTGAACCGATTTCAGAAATTTAAAAGCCATTTTATGTATCTCGATGAGGACTATCGTTTGTCAGTTTTATGTGACGATTTGCCAAGCCGTTTCTTTGTCATTTGGAAAAAAGTGTTAAACATTTCGTCCACATTTAAGCTCAAACTACCGAATCGATTTTGAAAAATCAAAAACTGTTCGAAAGATATTAGTTGAAAATGATACTGATTAGTTTTAGGTGAAAATCTACCGAGCCGTTTTCTTGTAATTAATTGTTGAAAAAAAAATTAAGCCGATTTTTACGGAACCTTTTTTAACGATATATATCATGGTCTTATAGAACTTACTAAAATATTACGGCCTTACGACAAGTAGTTTAATTTTAAAAATTCATCAAAATTTAAGAAAATGAGTAGTTTTTCTGACGTTTGTAAAAATTAAAATTAGACGATTTACTTGGTATAAGGATAGAGTGTTCGTTCGTTTTCAATTATGTGTAATAAATCCACTCGAAATACTTTTAATCACTCATAAATTAATTTTTTTTTTTTGATTAAGTGTATTGAATCAAATTAGTGTATTGATTATGTGTAATAAATCCACTCATCAATTTATTTATTTTTTATTAATTAAGTCGAATATTTACACATATCGGGAAGTTCATGTAACTTGCCTCAAGGCAAAATACCAAACCAACTAGTTCATATTTAAAGAGGTAGTGTTATAGAATCTGCACTGTTCATTAAAATGTCATAATTTAATTTAGACGGGACGCTCTTTCAGTATTCACACAGTATATAATTCTTCAATTAAATCATTAAAACAAAAAATACCAAAAGTATTATCAGTTACCAATTAGAAACCATCCTATTATATGACGCCTACATACGTTACTCCTCAATTATTGCACAAAATGATGAACATCACCTTTATATACAAATGGTATTATATGAATTATATACAAGTTTAACAATATGTATAGGATACAGGATTTATGATATCTATGTCACTCTTTTTATTTTTATTTTTTTAATTTTAATTTTCGGTTGACCGCGCTGAGCCCCCCTGTGCACCAGTAGCGGAAATTGGTTTCGGTTCCGGTATTTAACATTAATTTCCTGTTTTTTCATTAGTAATTGAAAACCTACCCTTATACTCATGATATACAATTATCAAAGTACAAAATATTAATTGAGACACAAATTATTTAACCAAAACAACGTCAGAACTAATTCAGAATTGGGGTTAGAATATAACATATGAATGAAATAAATATATGTCATTTTTTACATTTATGGAAAATAGTTTTTCTAATAATGATATTGGATCTATATTGATACTTAATATTAATGAAAAAAGAAAACATGACAAATACCAAATCGTATCAAATATAAAACCCTAATCGCAAGCGATGGTAACGATTTTTGTAATAAATATTGCAAAATATAATTCATACAATAATTAAGCACATCTCAGACAAGATTCAACAGTTCATATGCACAAATTCAATTACTCAAAATTAAATGAATATTATTATAAATTGTGCATTGAACTTAAGCATGTTCAAAATCTAATGTCATTTAAAAAAATTATCATTATTTATAACAAAATAAAATGACTAATACGGTTAACGCCCATTATAATCAAATAACATAAGAACCTAACCAATTCTTCACTTACCTGTAAAATGAATACTTCAAGAATTTGCTGTAGCCATGAAAGCACAACGAATTACCAATGAATAGAACACATATTTTAACACAGGATAAATATTTTAATTTTAATTTATATTAAAACAAATCATTTCTGTATAAAAAGTAAATAATACAATTTTTATTTTATTACACACGTAAACAATACACACAACAGTCAGTCACACCTACATAAATGAGGTGCACGAGCGCGTAACTCAACGAAAACAACTATGGCTTGGAGCAGTGTCTTCCAAGGACATGCCGTTAAGGGTCGTGTTGAATTGATTCAGTTCATGTTTGCACATTCAATAACATTAACGTCTATTGTATTTTTTAAATTTCAAACGTGCGTAGTAAATACATTTTCGAAATATATTTTCCGAAAGTTTGCTCTGAATTATTGTTAACACATCTTCCTTGCATGTAAACCTACACTTGTCAATCATTGTGCATCAAAGACATAGAGAATAATATAGACTCTAGGTGTCAGAAGCGCCATCTGTTAACACTAAAAAGAACTAACTATAGCATGGACAACCATCGGTAAAAGAAGAATATGTGTGGGAATTAGTAAATATAACAACCCTAAATAAATAATATAAAGTAATATAGTAAATTAACATATTTATGTATATGGATATTTATGTATCAATGTCATAAATGTATAGCAAAATTATGAATTATTATAATAAATATAAATCAAAATATATCATGCTTCATTGCAAGTGATAGTGCATGTTGCATAAAATGAAAACTACCAAACGCACTACCGTATAATAAAATATAATACATTAGTACTGCTGCACATAAAAATTTCAAATATGATATAAAATTTGTTTAACTATATATTTCATAACAGTTTCATATATATTATGTATTTGTTTTCACAATCTTATTTTTAAATTTTTGTTTATTTTTAAACTTTTTAGGATTAATTCCATATGCACGTAATCTTGATTCAGACAAGTTAATTTCTTCTTTATTTTTTTTAACTTTGTTAGATTTTTTGACAATGACATTTCCATTTGCTAAAATTTTCTGTTTACGTTTTCTATTTTTCTTTGCTCTTCTTGATAAGGATATGGGGGCATTAACATCAGATTTTACATTACTACTACAATCTTTATTTTTGTCAAAACTAGCTATGTGTTCCACGAACTTATCTTTTTCTTTATTTTGGTTTTCATTTTGAGCAGATTCATTCTTTACTATTTTATCTTTATTTTTTCGTTTTGTTTCAACGGATAACGAATTCTTGTTACCATCAGTTACATTTTTCTGTTTAACATCTAGATCATTTGATTCTTTTCTCGTATTTTGGTTGTCATTTGCAATAGATTCATTCTTCACAACTTTATTTTTATTTTTTCGTTTTTTTGCTTTTGCCTTGGATAATGAATCCTGGTTACCATCATCAGTTACATTTTCTTGTTTAGTATCTAGATCATTTTCTTGATTAACATCTAATTCATTTGATACTTTTTTCATACGCTTATTCATGTTACTGTCATTTTCCATTCTTCAACTTCTTCAGTTTTTCTCTTATCATTCTCAGATATATCAACTGTTAACGATTTTATTTCTGGATCTTCCTCCCTAGAAAATAATTATAAATAATTAAGCTTTCTTATTAAAATAGTTAAACAAAATAAAACTTACTCAGGTTCCTGATATAAGCTCTTTAAAGCTTTCTTTTTTAGTGCCAAATTTCTACTTTTACGTTCATAAGCAATTTGATCATATTTTTCTACATGATCTGGTCTTATTTGCACAGCTTTTTTCAAGCTACACCAGCTATTCAATTCTTTATCTTTTGCTGCCAAAATCTATAATAAAAATTAAATATACAAAAAGTTCATGAGATAAGTCAATAAACAGCAATTACATAATGTCAACCCACTTCATCAATAGTTAATCCAAAGCTATTTGGCATAACTTTTTTATATTTGAATCTGCAAGGCAAGTCTCCTATCATGTCTTCATAATCTAATTTGTAATATTCATCCAAATATTCTTCATAAGTTTTATCATTTGGATCAAAAACAGGCTTTTTTTGAGCTAACACTTCTGCAAATTTACTTTTTCTTCTTCGATTTCGTTTTGAACAACTGTTTTCAATCAACATATTTTGAGTATCATTATTTTTTGTTGTTTTTGTTGTAGGATCATAATCACAATCCATCTGAAATTAAGGAATAATGTACTAAAACAGACAAGCTAAAATTTCAATCAACAACAAAATAGAGATTCACATTGAAATCGTCATCCTCACAGTGTGGAGCATTGTCATAGTCATCTTGTTCTCCCTTCCAATTATCCCAGTCATCTATTATTTCAATGAAAAGAACATTAATAATATCTTCAAATTTCACATTTTGCCTTTCAGAATGTGTAGAAATTTTACATAGTTACCTTCCATAAAATCATCATCCTCAGGAAAAACAGGTTTTTGGTCACTTTCTTCAACAGCATAAAAATCATTATTAAAAATTTCCTGCATTCTTGCATCATGAGCTTCTGGGTCAAAATCACCTTCAATATCTTCATCCTAATTAAAGTCAAATTTAAATAATTTATTTGAACAACAACTTAGAAAATAAATCATGATAATAAATCCCAATTACTTGAAAACAAATCTGTTCATTTCCTGTAATTTCTCGCAATTGTTGAATTTTTTCTTCTATCTCTTTCCTCTTCAAAGACTTGAGCTGCTTGAGTTCTTCACATTTACGAGCTTTTTCTTGTGCTTTGCGTTCCTTTAATTCTGCCCTTTTCTTTTTACGTTTATCATCCTTCCTTCTAACAGAATGCTCCATGGTACGAGGGTATCGTTTCAGCTAAATAACAAAGGTGAAATATAAAAAATATAAATACTTTAATCATGGATACAACAGTAATTTTATTTGTTAATAATAAAGCGTACTAAAAATTGCTTACAAATTCTTGATCAGGCTCTTCAAATCTGAAATTATATTTATGTTCAAATTCTTCTTGTGCTTCTATATTTTTTTCATCCTCAGATAAATTTTCATCCGAATCATGCACAATTTCTTCATAAGATGGAATGTAAGAATCATCTTCGTCATCTAAGAACCTTTAGAAAGGTATTTTATCATAGTTTATAGTTATTAGTAAGAAAGATAATATATAATTGATGATAAAATATTTAATCAAATCATACCTCTTGTTAAGCAAATAATCTCGTAAAAAAGATTCATTTTCATCCAATGTTGGATTGTTCCAATAGTCCTTCAATGGTTTTAGTTCTGATTCCTATTATAATAAAAAGATATAATTTAACAAAACCAATTTAATTTAAAAATAAATTAACTTTAAAAAATTGACCAAGTGTGACCAACTTTGCACAGTGTTCTTGCAAATTACATTTAAAGTTTAATTTAAATTAATTTTAATTTATTAATTTTAAGACAAGAATATTTTTCCTAACACATTAAAATACCTCATTTTTATTTTCTAGCTCTTTCTTCTTCCCAGCTAACCATTGTCTATACTCCTCCTCCTCCTTTTCTTTATCTTCCTTAGTTTTTTCCCTTTTATGGAAAATGCCACCAAAATCTTCAGAATCTTTTTCATTTTCAGATTCATCATCATGAACAATTTTCAATAAGGAGTCACGGATTTGTTTTTGTTCTTCAACAAAGGTTGGTGATTGCGGTCTTTCAGAAGCATCTAGAAATAAATATTAATCATATTGAATGTAACAAATAATACTATTGTATGCTAACGATTATTCCATTTATAATACTGAATGAAATTGCATAAAATACCTAAATCTTCTATATCGCCCTCAAGTAACAATTTTCTTTCATGATCTCGCAGTGTAATAGGTTTTTCAGGCTTTGTCTTTTTCTTTTTAGTATTTTGTTCTTTATTCTCACTGAAAAAATTGACATCTTTATCATAAATTTTGGGATCTTTATTTTTTAAGCAAGCTAAGGTTCTAAAGAAATCTTTTTCTACTTCTTCAGTTAATTCTTTTGCATCCTCATCTTCAGAAGAACTTGAACTACTGTCATCATAATCATTTAAAGCCTCTTCACCATATACTGTTTTAACTAAAAAAAAGCATATAAACGCATGAACGACAATATTTACATGAATTAAACAATAATAAAATAATTGTTAAATTAAATTGATGTACGTTTATTTAACTCTTCCTTTTGACGCCATATATCATAATTTTTTGCATATGGGTTATCTGTTTTAATGTTTACGTCTGAATCAGAATCATCCCCATCAAATAATTTACTCATATTTCTGTAAAAAAATTATAAAAGCTCATTAACTTTGAAACACGTTTCCAGTATGGCATATATATAGAGGATAGAGGTTATGAGATTATGTCAGGTTATGATGTTCTTCCTTCTTCTTTTTCTCTTGTATTGTCTCTGTCTGACTGCGAGTTTAGGGTTTATACTTATGGCATAAAAGTGCACTAAATTTTAAACCATAGTGTTGACGCTGTATGTTATTTATCCTATTACAGTAGAAAATCTCTTTATGTTTATTTATCTATGGTAAACTTTACAATAATAATGTGACAGCGCTAGAAAAAATAACATCTTGGGCAACAGCAATTTTCGTGTTTGTGTGCATAACAATTCATCAAGCTTTAGTACTACATTATTAATTAAGTTTTAGTTGGTTTGAACTTCAAATTTCCAAGTGAAGTATATTCCGTATAATTAAAATAACCATACATCATGGCAAAACATCATCCTGATTTGATATTCTGTAGAAAACAGCCGGGTGTAGGTTAGTTTTTAGCGTTAATGCAGCTCTTTTTATAGTATTTTGCGATTTAACAGAGAAAAACATTTTCTATTATTTAACAATTACATTCTGTCATAAATACATCTTCAATTTTCATTTATATATATATATATTTCAAATTAGTAATATTCATTGTTTATTCCAGCTATTGGAAGGTTGTGTGAAAAATGTGATGGTAAATGTGTTATTTGTGATTCATATGTGAGACCCTGCACATTGGTCCGAATTTGTGATGAATGTAATTATGGTTCTTACCAAGGACGCTGTGTCATTTGTGGAGGTCCTGGAGTATCAGATGCTTACTATTGCAAAGAATGTACAGTACAAGAGAAAGATGTAAGTACTTTTACACATTTAGTTTAATTTATGTTTTACTATTTGAATTTTTTTTAACAGAGAGATGGATGTCCGAAGATTGTAAATCTGGGAAGTTCAAAAACTGATCTGTTCTATGAACGAAAGAAATATGGATTTAAGAAGCGCTAGTATTCAAAATATTTTTATATTAAATTTGTATTTTATTTATATTGAGATGTAATAATGTAATTTGTAAATAAAGTATTTTGTACGGAAGTTTAGTTAAAACTTACATACTAGATAGTAAAATATGCAAGTTTTAAAAATATGTATCTTTTTTTCACTAATACATAAAAGCAGATTTTATGATTCTGCCCAAAACAGTAGAGTATTGCAAATTAAATTAATTCTATCTTCCATTGCTCAGCCATATTGATGGCAGGCTTGCGTATTGTTACCACTTGATTTTTGTCATCATATTTTGTTTGTAACTCTACCTTTAAATTTTTATTGGTCAAAATTGCTTTAGTTGGTGCTTTATTAACTCCAACAACTATAACTCTCTCCAGCCAACTTCCAGTTTTATATTGATTGTTGACGATACTGAAAATATATTTGAAAATGAAAATTTGTACTGAAATCTATTCACAAATTTACCATAGATTCATAGTAAACTTACTGTGATTCAAGTATATTTTGACTATATCTGAATTCAATCAATAAAAATTTCTTTGACAAATATTCAAATGTTTCTCCATCATCAATATAAAGGCTTCCCCCAGCCTCCTTACTTTCATTCAAACATACAACCAATGTGTAAGGATCATTGTGCATTAGAGATGAAGAGCGCCTTACTCTCATCTTACGTGGAACAATAGACCCACCACGTTGATAGACTGGTATCTAAGCATTTTTAAGAGTTTGAATTTGTATAATTAAATATTGATAAATATTAATCTATACTCTTAAAAGTGCATGTTATTTACTTTTTCTATGTCAACAGGCACTTTTACAATTCCAGGTGTTTTATACCCTTGGTAAGTATCAACATCGTACCAAATATTATTTTTTGGGAAATATACTGGCACAGAAGAAGCACCCTGTTCCAGAACTGGTCGCACCAGAAGGGAATCACCTTGAATTTAAAATAATATTAAATGGAAAACAATTCACACATTTGAAATCAGCATTTTGAAATGTAATTTAATTTAAAAAATTAGATGAAATGTGATTATTAAAGTTTTATAAAAAAAAAAAATACCTAATAAGTACTCGTAATCAATTTTGTAACATTCTTCATCTTCTGGAGTTAAGGTCAAGATTGGTCTCATAACTGGAGCACCATGAAAGAAATGATCAGCAAATGTTGAATACCTAGAGACATTAACTGGCATTAATAAAAAAAAAAAAAACTATAAAATACTTAGATTCTTGAAAATCACAATATTTAATATTTCAAAATATTAAATATATTTCAAAGAATTAAAAAAGTTAAATAGGAATATTAATAGTGATTGGTTATTAGTAATACTTTACACCTGGTTATTTATATTAATCAAAAACTAGAATAATATATTACCAAAAAGGTAAGTATGTGTATCTCTTTTGAATTGCATTTCGGATGCTGTTTATTGTTTCATTTGGGAATAACCATGGCTCCCTTCTTCGTGTATCTATGTGAGAATGTGCTCTAAAGAAGGGTTGGAAGGCACCAGCTTGATACCAACGTGTAAATAATTCAGCTTCAGGATTCCCAAAGAAGCCACCCACATCAGCACCACAGAAACTCATACCTATAAAGAGTAAATTTGGTTAATTTTAATATAACACACAGAATATAAAATAAGTATACAATCATATTTTAAATAACCTGAAACTGATATCGTCAAGCACATTTTAACAGAAGCTTGTAAATGTCCCCAATCAGCCAAATTATCACCTGTCCAAATAGCTGCATATCTAAAATATAGAAATTTTTACTTCATTTATTTTTTATGTATTTTCATTAAGTACACACATTCATTACATATTGTGTGCTTACTTTTGAGAACCAGCAAAAGCTCCCCTGGTTAAAATAAACGGTCTTAGTTTACCATTGGATCTCTTCAGAAGGCCTTCATAAGTACTCATAACCTATATTATAAAAAAATTATATTAAATTTGTTATTCAGAATCACATATTTTATAATTCTTACATGATAGAGAGCATACAAATTATGTATTGTTCGATGTTCCCAGCCTCCATGATGGACTGCATCCTTCACCATTGTGACTTCAGGACCATTGAACACAGAAGGTTCATTCATATCATTCCAAATGTATGTACTCAAAGTAGTACCAGGAAAGTTCTCTAACATGTATCTAATACACAAAATACATATTTTAGAGAAGTGATTAGACACTATATTTTCTATTATAACAAATAACTAACTGATCTATTATAAAAATACTTTGTGCTTGATTGTTAATTAAAAAAATTAATAACATTGCAGATCATTTACTTGTTTCCAAGATAATCCCGAACAGTTGGGTTCACCAAATCCGGGTAACTTGAAGAACCAGGCCAGCACCAACCTAAAACATAAAAATGTCTTTGCATATATTTGAAGCAATGCCATAATATAAACTATAATGTATTAAGATTTTACCCTCATAATCTCGACCATCTCTCTTGACATAATATCCGAGATCTGTCAATTCATTATGCAAAAAATAATTACCATCTCTCTTAATATGAGGATCAACAATCACTACTAAATGCCGTCCTTTAGCTGTTAAATTTTTATTCATTTCTAATGCATTAGGAAATCGATTTGTATCCCATGTGAAATATCTAAAAAAAAATTATTAACATATAATTACAATACTAAATATTTACATTTGTGATCTACAATAGCTCTAAAAAAATTCCTTATTCAATGAAATCTATATTTACTTTTTACTATCTGTATACTCAATATCCAACCACATTGTATCCATGGGTATATTGTGCTCATCAAATTTATTATTAACTGAATTTACATCTTCTTCATCATTATAATTCCATCTACACTGATGGTAAGCCAGAGAGAATTGCTGAAATGGATAAAAATGGTAACCATTTATAATTATAATTATAAAATTAAATATTTTTCACTTATATTTATTCTTAAAAACGAAATAATAAAAACAAAGTTATCATCAAATAATTATTTTAACCTGTGGAATTGGTGCAGTGCCTGTCAACTTAGAGTATTGAATAAACACATCAAGTGGCTTTGGTCCTAGCATGACAAAAACATCTATTATTCCATTCTCAGACATGAAATGTGCACCTAATACTTCTTTTCGCTGTGTATTTCCTAGAAACAAGACATAAATGTTTAACAATTTGTTTAGAATATGAAAGAACTGTTGGTTAAAAAAAATGTAATCAGTTACCTGATACAAAGTTTACAATGGAGGAAACAACATTTGGGTCATTTTGTCCATAAATATCAACCCAAGTTTCGGCAGCATTTTGCCAAAATATACCTACAGTCTTTTTAGGCCTAAAAATAAAAGTATTATAAATAAACATTAAATTTAAAGTAGATACAATCATTTAAATTATATAATAATGATCATGTAATTTCTTTTATAACAATCATTATTATTTTAAATAATAAAAAATAATAGAAACATTAAATGTGCATATAAAATAAATTGTGATATGCTTTGGATTTCTAATGTAGTTTAGTATTGATACTTCTTTAAATCAATTTATTTAAAATTATTATGCATTTTCAATAATGCCTTTATTGAAGTACTAACCCATGGCCATACAAAACTGGAATAGAGCCATATAATGCCATGGGATTATCAAGCTCATATTCAAAAACATCAAGGTTATATAATCGATAAGGGTCTCCATTAGATGTTGGCTTTAATGCAAAACTGTCAGCATGCTCAGGTATACCAAATAATATATTTGCTTCAGGAAAAGAAAAATCTGCTGCCACAGCCTCTGGTCCATTAGGTTTGGAATCATGGTGTTCTTTAAAGTTTTCTTCCCAACTGCCAGGATCTTCGTCCTATTGATTATTGATAGAGAAAATTATTATAAAATCAAAAATAACATATGAGAGACCTTTATTGATATATTGTATGATTACCTCAATTGATGGTACAACTGTTGGGACATTAGCATCTTCTTCAGTAGTCTCACCATTGTCTGTTCCAGATTCTGATGGTGTGTCTCTTTCAAGAATAATCAAGCATATTTTAGAAATTCATATATATTTATATATGTAATATATAATATAGTCTGTATTTATGTGGTTAATAAAATTTTAAAAAAAGTTGATCTTTCAAATAATTGTGAATCACTGAACACAACAGATTCATAGATTCGAAATTAAACATATATAATAAAAATATTCTTACTTTAGAGGCTTTGTTCTAAGGTGTTCAAATCGAAGTAGTCCCTTAGCATTAAAGCTTGCAACTAATTCATCTTCACTATAGAAGTCCACTTTAAGAGGATATGTATGTAGAACTACTTTATTTTTGGCAGATGTGAGTGTAATTGCTTCCGTTGTTTTAGATATAACTTTAATCCTAAATATAGAACATATAATACAGATAATATCTTCATGATGTTGACACACACACACACATATATATATATATATATATATATATATATATATATATTGAGGATTTTTTTATATATATATATTTATATATATACATTATATTAAAAAATACTCACGATTGACCATATAAGTTGTTATTTAAAACATCAGTCACACGGTATCTTGGCTTGAGTGGAGACTTCTCATCCATAACAATTCGGAAAGTATTATCCTAAAGCATACATCAGCAATAATAAGAATTGGAAAATAAAGTAAGATCATAGCAAAATTGCAACTAACTTGTAAACCATATATCTGTAAAATAAATTGAACTCCATTATCTCTGTTGAGAATTATACTTTCTACAGAATCCGCTTTTATATTCAAGCTATCGATGACTAGCTCATAAGGTGATTTATTTGGAGAAACCTTACGGCATCGCCTAAAAATAACAAAAATATATTAATTAAGAGATATACACAAAATAATAATCCAGCAAACATTACCTGCAAAAACTGCTTTTATCACAGGTTTTAAAGTTATTTCGGTCAACTGACCATACGCAATTTAACGACAATATAAAACATGTTAAAACAAAAATACCGGTAGGTCCCATTTTATTTAAAATTCCTTTATATATGTATCTAGCAGGACAGTGGATAGACGATCATATTAAAACCTACATATGATTAGAGCAACTTATCTAAAATTCGATTCTCGCAACACGAATGATAGCGAATCTGCGAATCACCAAATCACCCCTCCATGCCACATACAAAAATGATTATAAATTAGAAATTGTCAAACAACAAGCGAAGTGCCGAACTAAACTTATAAGCGGCGCTTCCATCAAATAATGATAAAAAGCATTCACAAGATACCGCTACTTACGTCATTTTGTAGCGACCTGGCAACCCACATCGCACCTCAAATTGACAGTTAAACATTATCTTTGGCTTATCATGTTGGCAACACTGCGCGAGAACCAAAGTGCAAGCTTCAAGATTCGGAAGTTCCTCTTCCTCTTCAGAATCGGAACTCTCTCTTCTGTCTGCTGCCGAACAGTCAACATCATAAATTGATCATAAATTACAATACTTTTCCTTTTCATTTTCAATACTCAAATATTATGTACATTTTATAAATAATAAATATAATCATACATAGTGTCGTTACTATTTTATTATAAATAAAATATATTATATATAGTCTATAGCGAGGTTTGCTTTTGCTTGCAATAATATAGTCTGCGCACATTGCGAACAGATTCGCCGTATGGATTCGTGCAATGGATTTTTCCATATTTTTAAGCCATAAGGATTTTTCTTTGTCTATGTGTAAGATCATCATGAATTAATAATTATTATTATGAATAAATTATATTTCGTTATTGTCTAGATCCTAGACAATATTAGAATGTCATGTGTTCATATGTGGTCTAGATATTGTAGATCAACGATACCATATCTCCATACCAGATCTAGAAGCCCTATAAATCACGAGCCAAATTTAAATTTTTTGGCGGGCTGCACTTAATAATATTATAAATTTTGATATATACTAATGAACATTTTAATATAAACACAACATTAAATAAGTTGCAAGTGGCATTTTGTCTTAAGGCAAGTTGGATGAAATTCCTGATAGTGACTTCAGAAATCAGTATATTAATTAATATTAAATTAATTTAATTTATGAATGATTTATAGGTATACCAAGTTGCTATCTTACAAATTTGCAAAAAAATGTATTACACATTATTGAAGTATTATATATTATTGAGGTAATATATATTATCACATTCAATACATTCTTGGAGCTAAGCATATTTTAAATTATGCATAGTTATAACTATATTTAAAAAAAAAACTATATTTATCTGTGCATGGAGTGTTTTATAAAGCGCATCCAATAAATTCAAGTTTTAAATGCTTTAATTTTAATTATTGTTGGAAATATTTAAAGGTGGGTCGCATGAAGCCCGCGAGCCGCAACTTGCTCATCCTTGATCTAGGTTCTAAGGACTGTTCACCCAGGGTTCACTTTTAAGGCCATGCATCTAGTTATTTATTTGTGTTGATTTATATTTCAATATTACTTATATGAATCACAAACATAAAATATTAGAAAATGGCAATTGTATTTTTAAACATATATGCAATCAAAACACAACTCTTATGCAATATTTGATTCAGCGTAACTAAATAGCTTGAGTATAATAGACATATGATATGTAATATGTAATGATAATTATGTATCTGATTAACTATTTATAAGCATTGGAATTTGAACATATAACCCAACACATTTTCCTCCATGTATCTTCTAACAGTTTTTTCCTTAATGGAATGCTTCAATTACGAATTTTTTATCCTTCTGGCTATTGGTCAGATTCTGACTATTTTGTTATGATTCTATGATTATTATTTTAATGGCTATGATATGCTTGCTGACAAACATACATATATCATTGCAACTTATAATTTAACTATTTTTGCCTAGTTCAACTACAATCACACAGATGAAAAATGAAATGAAAAAATTAAGTGTAAAATAAATTATTTATTTAAAAAAATCAATGTATAAAATTGAACTAATTCACAAAAATATAATCATGGTCTTCAAAAGAATATCACAAATTAGCATTGTGGCTACTGCCACTTGAACCCCGTTCATTTTTTGCTAAGTTTATAGAATAAAGGGATGCCATGGTTTGAAGTTTATTTATACGAGGTTTCTTGAATATAGAATACTGAAATAAATAACAAATAATTTTAATATAATAGAACATAATTTGACATAAATAAAATTAATTACTTGTTTACTATCTGTTGTAAGTTTCCTTTTCTCAACTGCGGGGCTGTTATTTGGTAATGTTCTTAATGGCATCATTCCAAAGCTGCTAGATTCAACTTGCAAGTATGGAGATTCTGCATTTTTAGATTTATTTGAGTTGATTAGTCCATTTGTCTTCTGTAAAATAAATTTAAACATAATATTCTAATACATAATTATTCAAATAATTCATTCATTTGTTTGCTACATTACATCTAAAAAACATTTTTAAAATTTTTGAAAATGTTTCCATGCTCTTTCCATACAAACTTTGATTGAATTGCGCTCTATCTAAACATTAATATTAAGAGCTAAAACTTTCAGAGAATTGTTTTTTATCTATTTGGAACCAATACGAGCCTCTGAGAGCAAGGAAATTCAAAAATGACCATTTTAAGGATCACTCTAATATATATACATATATATTAAATGGTAAAGTCTTGGATTTGTGTATATTTTGTAGAGTTTCGAACAAGAATCCAAAAAGTAATAAAAAACAAAAAAAAAGTTTTTTAATAAACTATTTCTTTATTTATTTATTTATTTACTGTCGACGTTTTGGAACTAGGTGCGTTCCATCTTCAGGACATCTGTATGTTTGAATATACATTAGCACTTTTTCACTAAAAAAGATTTGATCAAAAATTGAATTTATGAGTTATTTTTCAGCCGAATAGGTAAATTTTGTAAGTCAAAATTATTATAAGTTCTGTCTTTTTTAAAATTATTATTTGAAAACCAAACAATATTATTCTCTCGATGTTATGAGATTGGCTGTTTGTAATGAACTACCGAAACGTCGACAGTAAATAAATAAATAAATAAAGAAATAGTTTATTAAAAAACTTTTTTTTTTTTTATTACTTTTTGGATTCTTGTTCGAAACTCTACAAAAAATACATATATATAGTTAGTTTTGATGTTGAGAAATATGAATAAGTTCTTCAAGGGCATACATCATTATGTCGAAACGTTTGGAAAAATTAAAGAATAACTTCTAAATCTTTGCCTTTTATTTGATGTATGCCCTTGAAGAACTTACTCATATATATATATATATATATATATATATATATATATATATATAATATATATATATATATACATTTCCATTTTCATGAAAACTTTCAAAAATAGATTTTTGACTCACAATTAGTTTATAAAAAATTGGAACTATATAAAATTGTGCACATCGTAATTTTGCTTACATTTTTGGGTGGTGTATTTATGTTATTTTCCACTATGGATTCTAATTCTGTAATACGTTCCAGCAATTTTCCTTTTTCTCTATGTAAATCAGTGAGTTTTTCTTCATCATTGCTTAAATATTTCAAAGATATTTGAGCCTTTGAGGATAATTTTTCCAAAATAATATAAGAAATTATATAAATGTTTACCTATGCATTTCAAGTTTTTCTTTGAATCGAGTACACTGGGTTTTATATTTAACAAGTTCTAGTTGCAATTTTTGATACCCAACTTTTAGGTCTTTCCGTTTTTCTTCACTAGAACTGAGCTGTCTGAATTTTAAAATTATTTAAGGTATTTAAAAAATATTCTCAAATTTATACTCTTAGAGATTTTAAATTAAAATTCCTTATTGACAATATTCACCTTTTGAGTATGGATACAAAACTAGCCAAATCAGCAGCACTTGTATGATTAGAAATCATTGTATCTACTTCACTGGATGTTGATTTTAATAGTAGATCAATTCTAAAATAATAAAAGATCAGTTAAAGATAATAATAATATATATTTCACCATTATTTAATGTAATAACAAACATATCCAAATGCACTAACTTTTCCATAGACTGCATTTTCTTTTTTATTTGTTGTAACTGTTCTTTTAGACCTGATAATTCCTTCATCTGTTCCTTGAAGTATAAATATTGATGTTTCATTGCATCATAAGCTGCCTCTTTTTTTATCAGATTTTCTTCAAGTTTCAGAACCTTTTTTTCAGATGATTTCAACTGCAATATAAAATATTTGCCATCTTCACAAAAAATTAAAATGTAATATAAAAATTAATAGATATAATACAAAATAAGTTCAAAGTTAAATTACACTCGAATTGATTGCATTGCATATTAAGTTATTAATTAGTTACTATTATTTATTGATAATAACAAGATTTATTTATTCACGGAGGATACATTCTAAATAAACGTACTAAATAAAAGCACCAAATAAATATGGATAGATAATAAAGAAAAGTTTACACAAAATAAATAATAAATAAAAATATTCAGAAAATACTTTATCATTTGATTCTTCAAGAGATTTTTGAAGATCATTGTTCCTTAATTTTGCATCTGAGAGCTGTTCTTGTAACACAGCAGGGTCGTCGAGAAGAGATCTGTCTGCACAAACATTGAAGTAAATTTTCTGTATGGTAGACGGTGTAGTTTTACGACGGCACTCTGGACAGGTTGAAGATCTATATAATAATTTACACATAAGACTTTATACAAGTTTGAGATTAGCCTAATGTTCTTTACAATTGTAAAGAATTCGTACCTCGGAAGCCACTGGGAAAGACATTTTAAGTGAAATACATGTCCGCAAGGAGTAACAAATATTTCCACTGAACTTTCGAGTAATTCATTGCAAATGGCACATAGAACTATCATTATTATAGAAAATTATTATATACTATTTAAATATTTATTCCATAATTTATTATTTATATTATATTATATTATATACTCCTTATATTTTATAAGGAGAAAAAGCAATTAGTATCGAAACTATTAATATATAATAATGAATAATAATAATGACAGAATACAACAACGGGACTATTTATTATACTGTCTATTTATTATGTTGTCCAGGTTATATTCTCCAGATCTTTTTGTCTCAAAACAAAACCCGCGTTCACTAATCGTAGTTGTAGTTGTAACCTCAGACGCACAATTAGCGCTAGTGAGCCGATGCCAAGTGCCTAAACCATAGACCTTATATTACATGGACTGCTGCTATGTGCGTGACTGAAGCGCCGGAATAAATATGAACTAATGGAGATAAAAGAAGAGTATGTTTATAATATAAATTCTAGTTCTAATGGCTCGTCTCCATTGCACGAATCCGTACGGCGAATCCGTTCCCAATGCGCGCAGACTAAATTATTGCAAGCAAAAGCAATCCTCGCGCATGTCAAAAACAGGATTCGCCGTGCGCGTTCGTACAGTGGAGCGAGCCATAATATAAGTTCTATGGCATAGAACATCTTTTGACACTTTTTATGCGCTCGACTAGCAGTCCATGTAATATGAGATATATGGCCTAAACTCCTGAACCCCTCTGTACAGTCCGTAATTCTCGATCTGTCAAAATTATATTTCTGGGTAAAAGGTTATTTCATAAATATAGGATTATTATATAGATTTATTTAAAACATACAGTGTTATGATGGCTTCAATATTACGTGTACTAGCTGGTGCAACAACTCATTCTCCTGCTGCAAGGTATAATATTTATAAGTGACATAACAAAGGACATTAAAAGAACATCACTGCGATTAAAAGCTAGTGATTACATATATAGGATAAATGAATAAATATTTACATTTTTCTAATCGGTTTTATTTAATCTCCTGGGTATCATTCGTATTTATTATATTTTATTTCTAGGAATGTAAAGGCATTTTCAGTATGTTCCAGTATGGCAAAAGACATTTCACAAGCGTTAAAAACCAATGAGGCTCCAATTTTAGATAATCAATTAACTGTCATGAAAAGTGATGAAGTAGAACAAAAAGAAAAGCTTGAGGGTTACATTACAGTCCAAGAAGAGGTTTATATTAATTGATATATATTCATTTATGGAGTATGTTGGCAGAAATACTTTATTGTGTAGTACACACACACACACACACTTGCATTATATATATATATATATATATATATACATGCATATAAATAATAATTCAATATGTATTGTTCATTAGATGCGCATTGCACCTATATCTGGTATTCCTGAAGAGCACATCAAAACTAGAAGAGTACGTATTTATAAGCCACCAAAAAATGCCATGCAAAGTGGAACCAACAATATTCAACATTGGCAAATGGAATTTGATAACCGGCAACGCTGGGAAAATCCACTGATGGGATGGGCATCAACGTAAGCAATATTTTTCACAAGTTATTCTATCGCATTTATAACTATAATAAAAAGTTATAATAGTCATATTACTAAATTTGCAGGAATTCAAATTATACATAACATACCTAATTTAAAATTGTGTTTTTAGAGGTGATCCCCTATCAAACTTAAAAATTGATTTTAATTCTGCTGAAGATGCTATAGCTCATTGTGAGAAGAATGGGTGGGAATGGTATGTTGAGCATAAAACCACAAAACCAGAAAAAGTTAAAAATTATGGAATTAATTTCTCTTGGAATAAAAGAACCAGAACTTCAACTAAATAATTGATCAATTAAAAATTATGATTGGTAGTGTTACTTTGTAAATAAATATAAACGTGAAATATAAATTTTAACTATATTTATATGCATAAATTATTCCGAATTTTTATTTTGCAATGCACTAAAAGCCCCTCATTTCAATTTTTCCCTAAAGGATTTAAAAAGCATCTTAATATTAAAATATATATAAAAAAATAATAAAGTTGAATGCTACTGAAATTGAATAATATATGTATTATTTAAATGAAATATATATAATCTATTAAAAATATTTACAACCTACTCTGTTTTAGACCTTCAAATTTTTTATGAATTTTATATCTGGTACTCGTTTCATTCTCTTTATCTTGTCACAGTTGTTCATAAACGGTACTAAGGCTTTAGGTAAAGATATAGTTCCATCTTTTTTTTGATGTGTTTCTAAAAATGCTATGAGTAATCTTGGCACAGCGCAAGCTGTACCATTTAATGTATGTACAAAATCTTTACTTCCATTTTTTTCAAATTTTATAGCTAATCGCCGTGACTAAAATATTATTTATATATTAGTAACCAATAATATCTCTTAAGTTGATCATAGAATATTTTAGCAAAAATTCTAGTAAAATTTATTGTTTCAAAACAAATTTTTAGCATGAATATACCTGATAATCTGTGCAATTACTACAACTTGAAATTTCGCCCCACATATTCCTTCCAGGCATCCATGCTTCCATGTCATATTTCCTGATATTACATTATATATTATTATAATATCCTATTTTGTGAATATAATATTATCTCTTAAGAAAAACTGTGTTTTTCTCAGTTACCTATAAGCAGGAGCACCTAATTCATGAGGTGGCATGTCTAAAATTTTCACATGTATTCCGAGTGGAGTTATAATTTTTTTTTGTATTTCTATTATATAATCTAATAATTTTGATGATTCATTTGGATGACAGCATAAAAACATTTCAACTTTAGTAAATTGGTGCACTCTAAATAATCAATATGAAAAATTAATTTCTGATCTATGTTTTAGTAATTGCTATATAATAATGATACCTATATATTCCTTTTTCCTGTGCAACACCTGAAGTTTCTGCACGATAACATCTACTAATAGCTGCATATTTTATTGGGTCATCAACATTTAAATTTTGAGACCCAGCCAGTAAGCCAGCTATGGATATTTCAGAAGTTCCTGCTAGGCATAGATTACTACCGTGAGAATTTGATAGATGATAAACCTATGAAAGAATAAAAAATTATAAATACAATAACTAATATCAACAGTTAAATTTTAAATTAAATACTTGATTGCGATCTCCTTTAGTGCTCATACCACATCCTTCAATTATTGTAGATGGTAAAATATCTGGGACCGATACAAACTTGAAGCCATTATTTTTTAATACATTTACTGTGTATAGTATTAGAGCCCGCTCAAGATGTGTTAAAGAATCAATAAAAACATAGCTTTTTGGACCTGTTAAAATATTTGTATAATTATAAGTAAGTATAAAAAAAATAATTAAAAAGAAACCTGTCATGGCGCTTAGATTATCTGTTCTCAATATATTCATTTTATTTCCAATATCTCCCAAATCGAAAGGCTTGAAATCAAATTTGGGTTTTGCATCAATGTATTCAACTTCTTTAGGTTCATCATTATAATCAATGACATCGGGATGTGTATCATTAGGTAATTTGTATATCTCTTGTTCTATGAGTCGTAGAAAACGTTCTTTATCTCCTTCAAAGGCTTTGATCATTTTATCATTCAACTCATTTATTAAAATAATATTCCCTACACCTTTTCTTATATTTATATTTTTTAATATTCTTTCTTGATTATTTTTATTACATATATAATCAGTCTTGAAACAAGGGTTAAAAGTTTTATAAGTGCATATTTGAACATTCTCTATATGCCAAAGAAATTTACATAATTTTCTAGTTAAATACTTCATGATAATAATTAAACTTCTTATATTAGAAAACTATAAATTAAAGTAATGTAAACATTTGTTAGAAAAAATTATAATCAATCAAAACAGCAATTAGCCAATACATCAGGTCGTAATCCTAGACAAACATGTATATTAGGTTATGTACAATATATTTTTATAGATTCACTTAAAATTTTAAATACTTAACATCATTTCAGTATTAAAAAATAAAGTTTTTATTTATGAAAAATAATCGTATGAGCTTAATGTTATAGCGCGACAAATATTGACAAAAATATTTCGTTTTTTATATATGCATTGGTATATAATTTAAACGTAAGACTAGTTTACTTCATAGACAATATAATAAATATGGTTTACTTCGAATGAAATAAGGTGTACGAATATAAAATATATATATTTTTAGAAGTCATAAATCTACAAACAAATAAGTAAAAGTAAATCTACATTAATTCGTGTAATTAAAACCATGCACAAATACGTAAGTTCTATTTTGAGGTTAAGCAGTATCAATTTTCTGCAAAAACGCAATTTTGCAAAAAACAACAAAATATTATTAAATCCTGTTAAAAATATATTGAACCTCGCTTGTAATCATTTTTGTACTAACGCCTTACCCGAAGAAAATTATGCACTTACTGATGAGCAGTTAGATTCAATAACCAAAGGAAATCCAGAGTTATTAGAGAAATTAAATATTTTGATGCTAGAAGTTCAAGTTTTAAGACAAGATGGGGATAAAGTTCCTAATTATTCATCAATAAAACTAGATCAATGGGAATATCTCTTGTCAACGAGATCTCGGTGAGCTTACTCAATTCAAGATATAAAAAATGAAACTTTAGTTTTTTTTATTCATAAATTACTTATAATATTAGAATTTAATATTGTCCTATTGCAGATCAGCAAGAAAAAAATATCTAAAATATTTATGGAAAAACGAAAAAGCAAATGAAAATGAGAAGGTATCATATTCTTAGAAGCTGTTAAATCAATTCATATATATATATATATATATATATATATATATATATATATATATATATTTCAAAGTAAATATATATATATATAATATATATATATATATATATATATATATATAACTTATGTTGCATAAATATTTGAAATTAATTTGTTTGATAAGAATACAAAATTATCTTGAACTCAAATAACCAGTCCATAATTTAAAAAAAATTAAACTATTATCATATTGCGAATCTAAGTCATGCCCAAAACAAATTTTACATACATATACACATACATATTTTGCCATAATCACACTCTACAAGTAAAAAGATATAACAAATCCTCTAAAATTATTTATCAGTATGCATTGTTATTTAAGGCAAAAAAAGAAGAAATGCAAAAGTATAGAGAAGAATACTTTAAAGAAAGAGATAAAGAAGCCATAGAAAATGAATACAGATTATTCGGTAATACAATTTTTTTAAGATTGTATGATACAACAGTGAACCAGTTTTTGAATAATAGGTAATAAAATGACTTAATTCTATACTTTGTAATTACAAATATCTAACAAGTTTCATCAAATATTCAGACTTGTGCAAGCAATGCAATTTGGACAACCGCTAGTTTTGGATTGTTCATACACTGAGCACATGACACATCGAGAATGCTTAAATACAGCGAAACAGCTTATGTTGTTATTTGCTGCAAATAGAGCACACGATTTTCCTTTTGATTTACACTATTGTAATGTTAATAGGCAAGACCCGACCATAAAACAACTCAAAAAATTTATAGGTAATTATAGAAATATATACTTTGTAGGTTTTCATTATTATTTTTTTCTACATTTTCACAGGAACAATAGATGAGCCTTGGTTCCCATTAAATATTCATGAAGATAGTTACTTAAACCATTTTCCTAAGGAAAGATTAGTTTATTTGACACCACATTGCCGAAATAATTTAGAAGAGTTCAATCACGATGATGTTTATATCATTGGAGCTATGGTAGATAAGGTAAATATATGTATATGCTATATATATATATATATGTATATATATGCTAGGATTCATGAAAATGATAACTGAACTGAAAAATAGATTTAATAAGATTTATCTGATTTAAAATATTTTTCTCTTTCAGACGAATACTGAACCCCTCTCATTAGCAAAAGCTAAGCAGCAAGGCCTAAGGATGGCCCGTTTTCCATTAGATAAATATTTAGCTTGGAGTAAGAGTTCAAAAAGTTTAACATTAAACCAAGTATGTTCAATATTATTAGATGTCAGAAGTACTAGTGATTGGGCACAATCTTTAAAACATGTTCCAACTAGAAAGGTAAGATATTTTTTCTTCTAAGATATATATATATATATATATATATATATATATATATATATGCATATAAATCTTCTGAAGACAATGCAAAAAAAATCAGAGAGAAAATCATAGTTTATATTTTTTTACATTTTGCACATAATTTATTAAATACACATGCACAGATATATATATATATATATATATATATATATGTATATATATATATATATATATATGTATATATATATATATATATATATACATATACACATTTTTTTTAAAGATTATGTCAGATGAAGAGTTATCACAATACAAAGGAAAGAGAAGATTTGAGCGTAAATCTCCATTCTTAATAGACCAAAAATCACAAAATGGATTTGAATCATTTAGTGAAGGTTTCAAAAACTTAGATAATTACGAGAATTTTACTAATGATTTAGAAATGAAAAAATATAAAAAAATCAATAATAGAGACTTTAGGAATAATAGCCATAATTACAACAAAGATATAGTATCACAGAGAATAAATTTGAAGAAATTATTGAAGGATTAATGTAAACATTTCTATTATAACATATGTAAAAATAAATAAATAATATAAAATGGATATGAATTTTATGTTTTTGAGATTTGAAGAAGTTTACACATTGTTTCTTAAATATTTGCTATATATTATATATATATATATATATATATATATATATAATACACCTTACTTAAATTAGTTATGACATTAAATAATACTGTTCTAAGGGTTAAATGAAGTATTAAATACCATCTTGATTTTAATAATTGTTTAAACTATATAATGGAATAATAATAATATAAATATTATGTTCGAATATAGATTTGAATATCTTTGAAAGTATTTATATACTATAAATATCGTCTATTCATTTTGTTGATCACAATCATTTTTTAATAATCTGTTTTTATTGATATTTTGCAAAGTTGTTCCATTTGTCACTTAATAAAAACTATAAAATTTATCACATAAAAACAAATTCATATACTAACGTATCTGAATGATTATTCATAATCTATAACACAGATATAAATAAATAAATTGTTTAATATATGAGTATTATTAATCGCATTAAATGCTACTAATTTTATGGAACTTTAACATAGAATTCTGAAATCCATCAAATGGCGTTTTTATCTATATAATTTTTTTTTGTTATTGGCTTTGATAAATTTGGAATTATGCCCAGACCTAAATAAAAAAATACAAAATTATATGCAATAAACTTGAAATTTATTGAATTTAAAAAAGAATTTTTTTTTTTGAAAATTTGAAAAATATTTTTTTTTATTGAAATATTATAATATTTCAAACACATAACATGCATCTTATAAAATATTTATAAATATCCCAAACCAAAAAATTTCAATAAGAAAGTTTATTAGAATTATATGCAAAAACACAAAATATGTATATGTTTCATTTAAGTTACTAATACTTACTCTTAAAGTGTAATCCCAACTTCCAGTAGAAAGTGCTGTACCATCTGGGGAAACTTGGAGACATGAAACACGATTTTCATGACCAAAAAGTAAACAGACTCGCTGGCATTTCAAAGTGTCCCATACATTCACTGTATAATCATTGTATCCAGCAAATAATAATCGTCCTAAGTGACATAAAGAAATACAGTTCTTAATACATATTACAATAAATTTATTTGGCAATTCATCATTCCAACAAAAATCACATCATGTTTGACTTAATATACATAAGATAAAAATAATATCACTTACCACTGACTGAAAAATCTACAGAATTTGCTCCAAAAATTATACTATTTTTTGAATAAACTGCAACCTCTTTATCAGCTCGCATATCAAAAAGTCGACACTATTGATAATCAAAAACAACAAACATGTATAAATAAGCATAATAAATATTAAAACAAAAATGCTTAAATTTTCTTACTGTGCTATCATCTGAACCAGTAGCAACTGCATCACCACTTGGGTGAAATTTGACGCTATTTACATCACTCTGATGACCTTCAAAATTTTGAACAACCTGCCCTGTACGCATGTCCCATATAAATACCATTTTGTCACAGCTCTGTTTTTCAATTAATTTGAAACTTATTATTGTTTATATAATTTTTTCTCATAAAAAATGAAGCCTAAGCATAATCTTACCCCACTGACAAACGTATTACCAATTTCACTTGGAGCTAAATCAATTGACATCACATCACCACCATGGCCATGAAAGTTTTGTAACAACTGACCAGATTCAACATCCCATAATGCACAAGTTGAATCACCCGAACCAGTTAAAATCTTAAAATAAGTTAAAATAGTAGGTTAATTGAATAAATGGCACAATTCCAGCACTAATGCCAATGGTGATATCACAATTAACATTGATTATTAAATGCATTCATTTAATTTATTTACTTGCTGATCTGAATTTGGAAAAATGCAGCATGACATATAACTTGTGTGAGTTCCAACAGTTTTCTTGCGAGCAGACATCTCCTCATCCATACATATTGGATAAACAGTCACTTTGTTATCGAGACCTCTACACATTGTGAATGATAAGTTATTAATATTCTTACCAAACATATTTCGTATTTTTTTTAAATTATTATATTTATAACAATATATAATAATGATAATCTATCTTACCCGCAGGCTACAATATTTCCTGATGGTGCATATGCACATGCCATGACCCAGGTTGTAGGCATTGTAACTGCATGTTCTTTATTTGTAGTGAATGCATCCCAAATAATCATTTTTCCATCCTGAAATGGTATTGTATTAAATTATGCTATACTAATTTAATAACGATATACTATGTTTCCTTATCTATGATACTATGCAATGTAATCTTCAATTTTTTTATGATTATAATAATACAATTATAGTTCTTTATTAGGCTTGCAACGAATAGTATATTCGGCAAAATGCCGAATACCGAATATTCGGCATTCTTCAGAGACCGAATACCGAATATTCGGCAACTATTCGGCAGGTTTATGGCGCCTAAGCTTGTTTGTATTAATGTAATTACTATCAATAATTGTTATATTACTAACGCGCTACATTCAAGTTTTATGCCTAGGCTTGCAACCACTATTCGGCTACTCTTTATTATTTAGAAAATTTGGCATCATTTATACCATTCGGCCGAATACCGAATACTTGAATACCTCATGCGATAAGGAAATAAATGGCAAAATCATGAAAAAAGCGATTCTTTTCATGTATGTAAATGTATGTCTAAAGCTAATCAAAATAAAATAAATAAAATATGATCAAGAATATTGTTTGTATATTTAGCGATAAAAAGTCAATGATAGCTCTTTATTTGGAAATGCTTAGATTGAAAATAATAAATGACTTTATTGTATTGATACAACATATAATATGCGTGTAACCATGGATTGATTCATATTAAATAATATAAACATGTAACAATGGAGTATCTTGTGAATATTCAGAAAAAAGTTCTTCGCGTGTTCATTGATAATGTCAAAAGTCGATAAAGTTTAAATTAATCTGTTATCGCATAATAGATAAAACACCAACAATGCTATCGCTGAGAGGCGGCGGCGCCTTTGATTTTAACTATTCGGTATTCGGCAGAATAGTTAGTTACTATTCGGTATTCGGCCGAATAGTAAAAAAGATGCCGAATATACCGAATACCGAATAGTAACCGAATATTCGGTGCAAGCCTATTATTTATACATTAATTAAATTATATTATCTGTTAATATAAAAAATTATTATTAATAATTAATTATATTAATTTTAATATAATTATTATCAATATAAGAAATTAGATTAGCAGATGAAAAAAATAACCGCTTTTTGTTAAGAGATAATCACATTGAACCACATGGACCCCCTTGAATTTTATTCGGATATAATTATTTTTATTTTCAATGGTGGCTATACTTTCTATAGATAAGTAGGGAAGGACATGTCATGTCAGTGATGTCAATCTTGTACAGAATTGTTTTAATTCACTGTACTGTCAAAAAAATCAGGCTGAGATTTTTAGGCGACGATAGAGAATATAATTAATATATGACAAAAATAAAATTATTTCTGAAAAATGATGAAAAAAGTACAGAAGCAACCAAATACAGAATGTTTAATAAGTAATTCTAATAACATAGAAAATACTTATACAAACGGAATTTTGAACTGTTTGGAAAACGTTAACGAAAGCAAAACATGTGCCAAAAGAAAAACAAATACGGACACTAATAGTAGTAAAAGTCTTCCAAAAAGACCTAAATTTTTAATACTTGATATGTCAATTAGTGATCCTCCCAAAGAAAATGTAAAGAACGAATGTGAAAAATCTAATGTAGGCTGCAAACCAGATACAAAAAGTGAAGGTTCTAAAATAACTGATTCTACCAAAAGATTTCTTATGGATTTATACTGTAATAAACAAGATAAAAAAATATATATAAATTCTCCAGACTTGTTTGCTGACACAAAATTGTTAGAAGATAAAGATTACCATTCATCAAAAGTAACTGATGAAAAAGTATTTGTATCAAAAGGCTCAAAAACCCTTATAACAAACCAATACAATAATACCTTTAACAAAAATTGTAATAGTCCAAAAATATCAGTAAATCAAAAAAATAAAGAAGCAGAAGATAATTTTGATTTTGAAATGTCACAACTTTTTAAAACATCACAACTAGATAAAATTTCATTTCTACAACCAACTGCGCAAAATAATTCTAAGAATAACATTATAAAACACCCTCCAGATAGTAATTATACACAATTATTAATGTCAACCCAAATTAACAAGCTTTTGGACAACAACAATACAATGCATAAAGATTCAATAAGTCATAATACTGCTAAACTAAAAAACATAAATAGAAAATCAATAACATCTTCCCCATATTTAAAAAAGAATCCTGACCTTTTCGATGAGTCCCAAATATTTAAGACTGATGAACTCGAAACTATAATAATTAATGCTGAAAAATCTTCTAGAGATACTAACATTGAAGACAATGCTAAGGAACCTGAAGATAATGAAACGCAACTAAATGACTTTATTGGGCCACAAAACTTGATTGATTTACAAAAAAAAATGATGATAGCAAATGAGATCAATGTGAGCTTGGAAGATGCTGTGCTGAACCAAGAATTATTAAATGTCACTGAATCTTCACAATACAAAAAAGATATTCACACACTCTTTAACATTTGTGAGATGTCAATTTGTAATAACAATTTCCATGAAATTAAAAATGAAGACAGTAATGAAACATTGGGTCTGGCAGCGATACAAGGAATAAACTGGGAAAATGACTCAATGATGGCAAAAGAATCCGTGTTAAAAGAAGAATCATCAATAAAAAAAACTGCATATGATACCATTAAGCAAACGTTGTTAAAAAACGCAGCCAATACAGTAGAGACCACAAGGGAGTTTTTAAAGCCAAACACTATTAGTAATAACAAAAGAATATTCACTTCCAAAGGACCATTTTATGACCTGCCATTTAAATGCAAGGAATTAATATTTGATTACAAAAATATTTCACAACTTTATGATTGGCAAGATGAGTGCTTAAAGCTTCCAGCCATTCAACAACGGAAGAACTTGATTTATGCGCTTCCCACAAGTGGTGGTAAAACATTAGTTGCTGAAATTTTAATACTTCGTGAAGTCTTATGCAGCAAAAAAAATGTTATTTTTATATTGCCATTTGTTTCAATTGTTCAAGAGAAAATATGGGCGCTATCACCATTTGCTGTGGGCATGGAGTTCTTAGTAGAAGAATATGCTGGTGGTAAGGGAACTTGCCCTCCTAGAAAACGTAGACATAAAAATTCAGTTTACATAGCAACAATTGAAAAAAGTTTAAGTTTGATAAATAGCTTGATTGAAATAGGTAGATTAGGAGAGATTGGACTAGTTGTTGTTGATGAATTACATTTATTGGGAGAAGTTGGAAGAGGTGCAACTTTAGAAATAGTTCTTACAAAACTTATAAGTACCAAATATGATATTCAAATAGTAGGTATGAGTGCAACAATTGGTAACATTTCAGAAATTGCACAATTTTTAAGCGCTGATGTATATACAAGAGATTTTAGACCAGTCGAGCTAAAGGAATATGCTAAATGCGGTTCAGATATTATGGCACTAGCAACTAAACCCAAATCTGCAGATGAAATCTTCACTTTTCATAGAAGTTGTAAATACAATTATTATACAGACATGCAATTAAAAATGGATCCTGATTGCATAGCTGGTTTGGCTCTGGAAATTTTACCTGAATCTTCCTGTTTAATATTTTGTCCTACTAAGAAAAATTGTGAAAATGTTGCCTCATTGATTTGCAAAATATTTCCAAAATCTTTATTAGAATATAGAAAACTAGATAAGAAAGGACTGTGTGAGATGATTAAAAAGGATTGTGGAACATTGTGTCCTATCTTAAGCAACACCTTACTGTATGGTGTAGCGTACCACCACTCTGGACTTACATCTGATGAACGCAAACATTTAGAGGATGCTTATAGAGCTGGGGTTATATCAGTTATTTGTTGTACATCAACATTAGCTGCTGGTGTTAATTTACCAGCAAAAAGGGTAATACTAAGGTCCCCGTATGTTGGTAAGGAATTCATAACATTATCTAGGTATAAACAAATGGTTGGTCGGGCTGGAAGAGCAGGATTTAAAGAAAATGGTGAAAGTATTTTAATATTTGCACCTAAAGATAAAATACGTGTTCAAAATTTATTATTTGCACCTATGGATGACGCTTTGAGCAGCTTGCACTACTATAATGGTGAAGGAGTAAAAAGCTTGATTTTAAGTTCAGTTGGTTTAAATGTAGCAAAATCTCGATCTGAACTTTGTGTATTAATGGGACAAACACTTATGGCTGTACAAGCAAAAAGATTAGAAATAAATGTGAAACAAATAACGAATAAAACAATCTCAAGCTTGTTTAAGCTAGGTGCATTAACAACAGAAAATGAAGTCAAGAAGGTAATGCAAATGACAATGGAAAATTCTATTTTGTTTTCACAAACTCAAACTGAAAATAAAGATCTAGACAAATCTAAAAAATGTCTTGTGATTGGGAGGAACACTACTTTAGTTATAAGCAAACTAGGCAAGGCTGCTGCTAGGGCATGCATAAATCTAAAAAGAGCGCATATGCTATATAATGACTTATTACAAGCACAATCTGGACTGGTTTTGTTAGATTGCTTACATCTTCTATACTTGATTACACCATATGAACAAAGCGAACAAATAAAACCTAATATGCCTGCATATTATTCTATCTATACAAAACTTGGTACAAAAGAATTGGAGACCGCCAAAATTTTAGGCATAAATGAAGCTTGTGCAATTAAAATGCTTTTGGGTAAGCAAATAAAAAATGTACCAATGAGGATTCTTAATCGATTTTATGTGACATTAATGTTATATGACCTATGGAATCATGAAGCTGTACATGATATTGCTGATAAATTTCATGTACCAAGAGGAGTAGTACAATCTCTCATGACATCAGCTGCTTCTTTTTCTTCCAGTGTTTTAAGGTTTTGCGAAGAACTTGAAGAGTTTTGGGCTTTCAAAGATTTGCTGACAAATTTTACTTTGAGATTGCAACATTGCTGCACTTTAGAATTGCTCCCTTTAATGGATTTACCTAATGTGAAGCTCGCACGAGCTAAACAATTGTATAATGCAGGTTACAAAACACTACATTTGATAGCAAAAACAACACCATCTCGCTTGGTACAAGATATTGAGCACTTGAATAAAAAAGTGGCAACACAACTTATAGCAACAGCAAAATTATTGCTTTTAGAAAAAGTTGAAACATTACGAGAAGAAGCAGAAGATGTTTTGGAAGGTTTGTGGAATGCTTAAAAGATTAATAAACAATTCATTCCTATTTAAGTTACTTAAAATATGAAATAAGTCATTCAACTGTGATCTCAATGAAATGAAATTATTATTTATTATTATTATTAGTATTAAAACGAACTACATTTGGTCAATAAAGAGTTTTCATGAAAGTATTGTCTTTAAATTTTAAACATTTACTATTTATATGCTCTCTTTACAGAATAACAATATTAATCATTTTTGTTTTGTTCTGAAACAACTACTTTACAGTGCAGATTCTAATAGCTACAGAAGCTATTTCATTCACGAATAAATCAATGTCTAGACAGCTGTTTGGTGATTTATAATTTTGATATTCTATTTTAAATGATTGTTTGGACTTTTGTTGATAGCAATTAAGCTGAGTGAGCCTTTGTTTAAAAAGTTTTAAGATTGCCATGTAAGTGTACGGATGTCTTTTGCAGTGGATTTGATCAGCGTTCTGAATGTGATTCTAATTGGAAGAAGTTATCTTACATAGTCTATGTTTTGTCATTGTTAGTTTGGCTATAATTACACTAGAAGGTTCCAATTTTTTGAAAAAGTATACATAGTATAGTTGATAATTAATGTGCTACCAAAGCAAATTTGAAAATAAAATATTTATTCACTTTTTGATGATAAAATAATATGAATTTTTCATTATATCTATGTTTATATATATATATATATATATATATATATATATATATATATATATATATAGACATTTTTAATAAATAACTCACTTGGGACGAAGAAACCATGTGACGCTTATCTGGGCTCCAATCTGAACAAAGAACTTTAGCTTGATGGCCTTTTAAAACCCTTCGTGGCTTGATGTTAACATAATTTATGATTTCTACTCTCTCAGCCATTGCAGTTACTAGAAAATAAAATTGATACTAAATATAGTTAGACATATTTAATTTTTGCAGTAATATTGCAGTAGTATCATAAATATGTTATTACATGATATATCATCTAGTTTTTGACGTTCATCTTCCAGTTTAGTTTTGAGGGTCTCTACTTCTCTCAACAAAGATTCAAGAGATTCAGCAGAGGTGTTTAAAATTTCGGTAGCCATTTCAAAACTTCAAAATTACGGCTTATTTTTCTTGATGATTAGTTATGCAAATTAAAAATTTATTGTAATATTATGTATTTATTTATATAACTTAATATTTGACAGCTAAAAATTTATTGTGATGCCAAACACAAATAACAAACTGCACATGCGCGCGCTAAATGTCAATATAATGCCCACAAATAATACAATTTTCAAAATTATTTGCTATATAATTACCTTAGGCCATTAGTTGTTATATGTAAATATGTTTCTTCATCTCATATTTAATACATGAGATATATCATGTAATTTTTATGTACAAAACTATAACATTAAGATTAAGTATATAAATATAAAAAATTCCCTTAGAGTAATTATGTTATAATTTAAATATAATTAGTTATGCAATAGATGTTATATTCTGTTTATTGAAATTAAAAATAATACAAGCATATCAATGCAAAACTTTTACGCCATTATGCTTTCTATCAAAACTATTATGTTGTATTTTTTCAATGCATATATTTAAAATCTTAAAACTGACTACTGAAATATATATAAATACATATATACAATCTAAACAAAACTTTTTATTTAATATTTTTATTTAATATATAAATACTATAAATGTGTTAACGGTTAATCTTACTATTGAGACTCAATTTCAGGAGGTTGTCTCAAATGCTCTGGCATTTCTTGTATTTCTGTTTTTGTGGCTTTTAATGCAATTCCCTCGGGTAAATTTCTTTCAATATATTCCAAAAATGTATCCAAAGTTGAACCCGTCAATTTATGAAACGTCATAAAATGAAAATAAGTTCTTATCTCATACTGAACCCGATGTTTCTTAAAGATATGTACAGATTTAAGTAAGGTCATGCGATGATGTTTTGCTTTTCTCAAAGACCAACTGCAATATTAAATTTAAATATAATTATGATATGGGCAAGTGCATCAATTTTGCTATATTACAGAGGATTAAAAAATATTTTTAGAAAATGTACAAATAAAAAAAATTGCTGGTAATAGTTTTACCATTTTCCAATTTCTATCCCCAAATGACTAGCTGCTGTAGTTGCAAACCATGTATAACTTTTCAATACGGCTGGTTCATTGCCTCGAAGTTCAATATCTAATTTACTATATAGTTTATCTGGATCGGATATTTGTACATAGGGTTTCGACTCATTATTAACTGCTGGCTGAACAATTCCAGCAGATAATTGTCTTAGTGGTAAATGACTTGTCGAAGTTTTAACAAAACCATTAAATAAATTGCCTTTTAGCATTTCCTACAAACGAGAAATTAGTTTGAATATTTTTCCTACAATAGTATTATAATCGTTCATTCAAACCTTGTACCTTTAAAATATTCATTATTAGAACTTTTAAAAATCAATATATTTGTTAAACTACTTTACTTATAATATGTTTAATTTATAACCATTAATATATTAATACATAACGCTATGACATTTATAGGTTAGTTTCATAAATTTACAATTTCATTTAGTGTTGCCTTATGCAGAATTATTGTCTAAACTAAACGGCTAGTGGGGCGCATACTGGAACTTCCCGTCCTAGACGGGATAATGCTTCCCGTACCCATAGATAAAAAGAATATTAAATGTTTTCAAATAGATTATTATAAATACTGTAACATTTGTCTAATATTTATTTATAAGAATTATATAAACTGAATTACAAAGTTAAAGTTATTTATTTAAAGTATAAAGTGAGCTTTAAAACTTATTTAGCCAGAATTAAAATTGAATTCTGAATTATTAAACTAATATACAAAAAAAAAAAAAAAATGACAAAAAGCAATTGTTTTGTCAACACAAGCAGAAAGTTTTTTGAATCATTCAATTCGGGTGCTTATTTTTAACTTCCCGTATGGTAAGTTATTGTAATGGGCCGAAAATCGGAATTAAAATTTTTTACATTTCTCGACGTTTTGAAGGTTTCTGAACATTTTGGCATACTTCAGAAAAAATGGATGTGTGTGTGTGTGTGTATGTATGTATGGATACAAATTTTCGTCCACGTTTTCGGGCGTACGGATCAACCGATTTGAATGGTTTGAAAAACATTCGATTCCTATTGATAAGGAGATGTGCTGATTAGTTTTTGGCAAAGGCAGGTCCAGCAGTTACGGAGATAAGGAACAAAGAGTGCAGAAAATAGAAATCGAGTTTTTGAGAGAACGGAGCATCCGATTTGAATGATCTAAAAAACATTCAATTAGTAATGATTGGGAGAAGGGTTTATTAGTTTTTCGCAAAGGTAGGCCCAGCCATTTCGGAGATACAAAGCTAAATGTACAAAAAATGGCAGTTTTTGAGAGAACTAAGCGTCCGATTCAATTGATTCAAAGAACTTTCGGCTTGTCTTAACAAAATAATTGATTTTGGGAAAAAAAAAATTGTTCCATTTTTTTTTTTTTTTTAATTTTTTGTATATCGAAAATAATTCAGATTTTACTTTTAATTCTGACTATAGTTCTAATATACTTTAAACAAATAATTTCAACTCTGCAATTCAGTTTATATAATTCTTATAAATATTAGACAATGTTACAATATTTATAATAATCTATTTGAAAACATTCAATATTCCTCGAACATTTCGTTACGGTACGGGAAGTACCAGCAATTTGCCTTAAGGCACGATGCCACTCACCGCACTAGTTTCGTTCACGTTTTCGAGCGCACGGATCAACCGATTTGAATGGTTCAATAAACATTCGATTCCTATTGATAGGGAGATGTGCTGATTAGTTTTTGGCAAAGGCAGGTCCAGCCGTTACGGAGATAAAGAGCAAAGAGTGCAGAAAATAGAAATCGAGTTTCAATCAATCTAGAGCATAGATTTTTTTGCATATGGCATATAATATACACAACAATTTAAAAGCATGAAATGCGGAATAAACAATTTCGGTTTACATTTTCACTAAATAATTGATTTTTATGCATATATTTAAGTGATGCATGAAAATATACTTGCTCACGAAAATGATATCTTTACGCTCCACTTATCTCCGTTCTAAAATCAACAAACAATACAAACAAGTTTTATTTTTATTTATGAATGGCAATGAAGAAAGTTGACATTTTATAATCTTCTCATAAATCATTCAAAATAGTGGAATTATAGAACAAATTAACACTTTAATTAGCTATATAAAATGTTGTAGTTTTTGTGTTATCATTTCGCAAAAGGAACCTCAAATAATGTCAATTTTAAAAATGAATGTAAAAGTTATAACTCATAATTTTGTGGAATAACTTTTATACAAATTAAATTAAAATTAACGTAATACTATCTAATAAATAAAGTTAAGATATATCAAAATATCTTATTGGCTTTATTTATTTTGAATTGATTTGTGTTATTTTTATTTGACAGCTCTTATAGTAAAACCTAAATGTCATGACAAGAATAGACTCACATAAATAAAAATAAAACTAAAATTAAATATCATGAATATTGTTTTAGTACATTAAATAAATTAGTAAATCAAGTCATGATCATTAATTTTTTTTCATAATGCCAAAAATGTGTGAAAGTAAAATTTGTCCTTTGCTAGCAAGTTCTCATAACTATAGTCCAGACACTTTAAATTTGAGCGAAGATTCCGATGCTCGACTTTACTGGTTTAAATGTTTTGAAAATTTAGTAGAAAAGTTTGCAGTGAGAGCTAAATTAAGCCAGCAGAATGATTGTACATCCATTTCCAGAGCTGAGGCTTTCAAAAAAGAATACATTGTCCGATTGAATGAATTGAAAAATTCTAAGTGGTATTTAAAATATTATTTTCAGTATATAAAATAAGTCTCATTTTAATAATTAGATTGTTCTTTTCTGGTTTTCAGTAATCCATATATCCCTTTAACCGTGCGAATGCTTCTGAATTTAAATGAGACATGTCTACGAAAGCATGGCTTTACAGACCCCTGGAAGTACCAGAAGGAAATAGAGAATAAAGCAGCATTGAAATTATTGGAAAATCGATTAAAAGAAATTGATAAATTAGATAATGATCATAAGTGGATTGAATTGTGTAAAGGAATGTTGGCAGGTAAGATAAAAATATTGAAATGTTTTACCAATCAGGTTTATTTATTATAATTTAAAACAATGTATCATTGTTAAAGGTAACATGTTTGATTGGGGAGCCCAAGCTGTTTCAGATATTCTAGAAAAAGAGGATTCCTTTGGTTTACAAGAAGCACTCAGTAGTATTCAATCTCGACCATGGTTAATAGACAATTTAGATACTTGGTTAAATCGATTAAAGGTAGGATTATTACAAATTGCTAATTCATTCAAATATAATATAATAATTTTATAATGATTTTAGAATGAATCACATAATTGTGCCGTAATTTTTGTTGATAACAGTGGGGTCGATATTGTATTGGGTGTTTTGCCATTTGCTCGTCAATTGTTATTGAACAACACAGATGTTATACTTTCTGCAAATTCAGAACCCGCATTAAATGATATAACACATAATGAATTGACCACATTATTAAAGGAAGCATCTCAAAAATGCAAAATCATCGAACAGAGCCTGGAGTGTGGTCGATTGATGGCTATCGCAAATGGCCAGACAGGTCCATGCTTAGATTTAAAAAATTTAAACCCAGGTAAAACATCTAATTTAATTCATGGTTGATGAGGAATAAAGATATAGATGAATATTTTAAAATTATAATAAATTTTACATAGCATTAAGTTAATATCAATTTGTTTAAGCTTTAACACATGCAATGGTGGAAAATGAGGTAGATTTAATAATAATAGAAGGAATGGGAAGAGCTCTACACACAAATTTATATGCTGAATTTACCTGTGAAAGTTTAAAGCTTGCTGTTGTCAAAAACAAGTGGTTGGCTGCAAGATTAGGTGGCGACATATTTTCAGTGATATTCCAATATGACAGTTCAATACATTAATGATTGTGATATTAATGGATAATCATTGCTTTGTTAGATTATTTACAACTATATCATACTTTGTGAATTGTAGTATGAAAGATTTAAAAAACATATTAACCCTTTACATTTGGAAATGTAAATTTATATTGAAATATATTTGTTATTTAATTATAGAATGATTGGAACACAGTTTTTTTATTTATCAGAAAAATAAAAAGTTAACGCTTGTAAAAAGTTAGTTATTTGTATTAAATGTTTATTTAAGAAGTTTATTTTATATACTGCAAAATTGCCACTACAATTTTCTGATTTTTATTTTTTAGATTTCTTACTATGACATATTTAATATAATATAGTCATAGTAATAATCATTACTATGACATATTTAATATAATATAGTCATAGTAATAATCATTACTATGACATATTTAATATAATATAATCATAGTAATAACCATTACTATGACATATTTAATATTAAAAACTTACATTATTATTTGTTCCTTAAGATTTTTGAAGATTATTATATTATTGCTCACTTATCTATATCAAATCACTTAAACCAAATAACAGAAAAATAACCATCGACAAGCATTGATTGAAAACAAGGATTACTTCACATCAATCGGATGAAAAAAGTTTTGGCGGTATTTTTTTCTAAAGTTGGTCCTCCCTACAATAGCACAAAATTGTTACGTTTTGCGATTCGTTAAGTAGATTAAAATCCGATTATTGAATTAATTACTGCTGTGTTATCATTCTATTAAATAGTTAATAATTTAACACGTCCAAAATGAACGCGGGGAGAAAAAATAAACAAGTTCGAGGTTCAGATGATTATAATTCTTCCAAGAAGCAGAAATCCGAATCTGGACCATCAAAGAGGCGAAAAAATAAAACTTCAGATTTAAATTTTGAAGATGATAATTTTATATTAGATGATCTGGATACTAAAAGCGATGATTACGAAGACTTAGGCGATTTAGTCAGTAAGATCGGTTCCAAATTTGAAAAATCATTATTTGAAAAACAAAAGGCTACAGACCAGCTTGCTGAAAGTATATTGAAAATTGGAACAGATCTTATTGAGAATGTGTTAAAGGAACAAAGTGAAAAGAGGTATTGTGTTATATTCTATTTTTATATATGTTATATTGCATTCTATATCTTTCATTCATATGCACTTTTTGGTTTATTTTTTCAGAACATTCTTAGAAAATGAATTCATAGCTAACATTAAAACTATGTTAAAAAAACTTGATGCTGAAATGAAATTAGCAGCAACAAATGAAGAAAAATTGAGGAAAGCTTTGCAACAGCACATGAATTATTCTCAGGTGAATTAAAACACCCTTGACAATGATAAATTCTTAAGATTAAAAATAGTTTGCTCTTAAAAAGTGCTAATTTGTAGCAACTTTGCATAAGAATGATGCGTATTAATAAAATCTGATTATTTTAGCAAAAGCTTGTGATGTTGAATAAATTACATCAGGATATCTTCGAACTATTTGCAAAATATTGTGATTCAGATGATGAAATTAACAAAGCTCAGCAAGAGGAATTAGAAGCAGCAAAAGCTGAGTCAATTTCAAAAATGAATAAAGAGAAGCAGCAATATATTAAAGACCTTAGCGATGACAACATGGCAAATGTGAAAAAGACAATTCTGAAGTTATTTAAATAAATTATAATTTCTAGTTTAATCTGTAGAATAATGCTTAGTATTAATATTTAGTTTTCATCAATACAGTGTAACAAATGAACTTTTCTGTTGCTTTTTATACTCCATATTAAGCACTATATTTTTCAATTTTTTATACTTAGCTCATATCAAAGAAATAAATGAAAAGCAAATTAATATTTACTTAAGGTTATATATTTATAAAATAATTATGTAATGGACTCGTTTTTCATATAGAAAATAAAATATAAAATATCTTCTTTAAGCATACATGTCTTCTCTGTCTGCACCAGTTCCTTCAGTTTCTTCTATACTTGAAAAGTGTAAGAAATGTGCAGGCCTGTGTAATTCATGATAAAATTCTTTTGGATTGGCCAATTGTAATTCATATTTCATTCCAGGATCATGTCGAACACCTAAAATTATCATATTTAGTTATAAAGGTTCCTGAAATTTAAAATTTACAATTAATCATACCCATAAAGTTATAATTCCAACTTCCTTGACTTGGAACCATAAAGAATCCAAGAAATCTATCAGAGAGCAACATTTGAACTCTTTCATAATGACTGGGAAGATAACCTTTTGGATTATTGCCTTTATCCGTATTTTTATGACCCCATTCAAAACCAGACGGTGTTAATTTATAAGCCGTTAAAGAACATGATCCTGGTGTGAACGAACATGTTATAATAATTGTACGTTCACCATCCCAAGATGAATTATCGGACATTATTTTAGCATGGGTTGTGATATCCTAGAAAAAAAAATATATATAAATGTAAGATATAAAAATTATAATTGATAATGGTAACATTGATAAATAAAAATATTACTTGAGGAGATAATTGAGGCAATTCATTTGGTTGTGTATGCATCCATCCTAGAGGTTCCATATCTTTTAGATACTGATGTGATGGCAATGTATCAGGTAAATGAACAGTTTGATGAGTTCCCCACTGAGGAGCCATTACAATGCATCGAATTTCTTTCACTTGTGGGTTATCAGGTGGTGAAACACCATACAAATAGCCAGCAATCTAGAAGTATTTGAATATTATTTTAAGTTGAGATCTATGCAGACATAAAGCAAACAAAATTAGAATACGAAAACTCTACCTGTGCTCTCAGATCTGAAATGGTCACAAATTTCTTCAATACATTCTTTGGTAAAATATATGTGTAACCGGTCTCCTTTATATCGTCAGAACTAACATAGATGTGATTGGTTCTTAAATGTAAATTAGTTGCAGAAATAGCTCTAACTCTCCACTCAGTTTTTGAACTAAATGTGTTACTTTCATAGTTTGATGTTGTGGCCGTGATGATTTCATCTCCATGTTTATTAACAGTTCTAGTAGTAGTGGCTGTTAATTGTGATTGTTCTTTTGTTTGTTTTTCAATTTCAGCAATTTGTTGACGCTGGGCAGAAGGAGCAGAAATTTCCATTCCCAAAATAATATCACGAATTTCAGATTGAGTTAATGATGCTACATTTACACTATGAACAAGAAAATCAAATTAAATGATGAAAATAAAAATAAAAAATACAACACTAATTATAACATAGCCATCTTCAAATAAATATTAAATCTTGAATTTCAATAACTTATACTAACTTATTTTTCTTTCCGTAATCTGCTAGAATCAAATCTTTTAATTGGACTTCAACTTTTATCCATTCCTCATCGGTGAGTGTTGGCCATATATGATGTGGTTCAGTTAGAGTTGTCTTGTCTGGCTTAAGTATAACTTTAGTCCTCTCAGTATTTACATGTAATGCGCGAAGAATCAAAATAAGCCTAGAGAATGCCTGCAATACAAATTTCCACAATTGTTCATCTCCATAATAATTGTGAAAAAGTATACAAAAATCAGATAATAGCTAACCGTGTAAGAAGATATAGTCTTGAGCCAGTCATCATATAAATTGAATAAAACCATTTGTGGTTCAGTAGCCTTAAGAATTAAATCACCAAACTTCTCAACTTTTAAACAAGCTTGGAATGGCAACTGCAATTCAGAGCCTTTTATCACAATATTGGGAAAATCTAACAAATGCACCTGTAAAAATATACAGAAATATATTATTACAATATAGCATAAAATTATGTTATTATAATTAGAATCTTATCATACTTCTAGTGGATCCAACATTCCTTTTCTTGTTACAATAATTTGTTTTGGCTGTTCTTCTACAGGCAATGATCGAATTAAAGCAGCAACTTCTTCAGCAGTTTTCCATTTAGCCAATTGACCCAAACGTTTTTGACCAGCCCATACTGAAGTGTGGATAATTTTCAAGAATAATTGACCAGTGCGGGGATTGAAAATGAATATAGCTCCATTAATTGGTTTTGTGGTAAGATTTCCTTCAAATGTTTTGTGAATTGTGACACGGTATACATTTGTATCATCAACAAACCTAAAATGGAGTATAAATTATAATGAAACGTATTGTTCTTGCAACATTTTGATACGTTGAATGTGTCATCCTTACCAAATAATTTGATTTGAAAATAGTTCACCATAGTTTGGGAAGATAAGTACGGTTCTGTAGGTTCTGAACTATATAATTGTAATGCTTTTCTGATACGTTCTCTTAATACATATAAGGCAGGATTAGCTTTCATTATTTTAGCCATTGCTTGCTGAATTAATGGTTTACAGCCTGGATACCAGTTTCCATAAGCACTATGAAGATTGTAAGCTAAATCAATAGCTATGAGAAGTCCTGCAAATAATTTTATCTTAAATTATATATTGAATATTTTAGGAACATTATCATTCCTTTTTGATAATCCTACCTGTAGGTGATGGATAAATAGACATATTGTCTGTCGTATAATCCAAAAATTTGGCTCTGGCATAACGTTCCACATCATGAGAGTCATAATCACCCCAACGTAGCTGCACATCTATCCAATATTTTTGTGTAGTTGTATTATCCATAGTATCTCTGAAAATATACAAATGATATATATATATATATATATATATATATATTTGTTATATTAATGTATTCATTCATATATCTCACTTGGTATCAGCTAATAGTGATGGTCTTGATACATTCCATTTATATGCAGAGAACAGAAGTATGTCAGCACACGAAGAATTCATTTTATATGATTTTCGTGGATGTATAGTTTCCTTCTGTACTGTTTCAATTTCCAAAGCATCTAATTCCTGATCAAAAACCTACAACAATAATTAAATTAAGGTTATCAATTAAAAAACATTTCTAAACTCTTATGTAAAAATAATATTTACTTGACACAAGTCCATAACAATAGATTCGTGCACTTTCTGCCACAAGTGAGCTCTAAATATTTGAATCAAAGAAATTTTCAGGGTAGGAATTTTGCCATGCATAAAGATTCCAGTTAAATCAAGTTGTACTTGGAAACCAACGTAGACATTAGCCCTGTTAATAGTAGGTGACCACCATAAGGTAAAGCGCCGATTTGGTATTTGATTTAAACCTAGCAAAAAGCACAGAAACATTAAATAACTCTGCAAAACATATTAATGCAAAATTATTGATTTTCCGTACCTGATCTTTGAGCATTTGTTAGCTTTTTATATTTCATACTTTCTTCAAAACCTGATGCTTTTTCCCAGAATAAACCTTCCCATGTAGGAAAATAGGTTCCTTTGAATAAAGTGTGTTCTAAAATTCCCTCAACCCCTCCTAGAGCTTGAATCATGTCTGTACGATAATTGTTCAAGTTCCATAATTTACCATCATGCCTTTGATGAGTCCACCAGAATGGATTCTGCTTCAATACCTGTAAAAAAAAAATCATTATCCAATTGTATGTAACACATAGTTAAATTTTTTTGTATATATAGAAATGAGAACTAGGGAATTAGTAAATAAAAGTTCATAAATTACTTGATACTGCTTAAATTCAGTCCTAATTCTCCATCCTTTGTCATAAGCTAATGTATGTCTGTCTTTTTGGAACAGAGTGTTGATCCTGGGAATACCACGATCCCAGCTATCTTCTAAATCTTCCAATGTTAGCCTCCTAAAAAGATTGTATTAAATTAAGTATGAACCAAATTGAAACAAAAGTGAAATGAAATAAAAAAAAATCCACAAACCTGTTTTGAGCATTAGCTTCTTGCCTTTTAAGTGCATATTCAGCCCATACTCTCTGTGAGTCAATAAACTCAGATTCCCATGGTTGAACATACCTATATAAATTAGGAATAAGTTGATCTTCATCATGTGACATACCAGATCTAAAATGTGTTATTCCCACATCTGTTTGTTTGGACCAACGCAAGTCTGACTGGGGAATTAACACATGACCCATAGATAACATTCCAAGACCACCTAATTCTTTAGGCGTATAGAATACTACTGGAGGAAATCTTGAAGGCATTTTTGAATTGAGACCAATTTTGATACGTGTTTGAATTTTATTTTCGCATTTAACTAAAAGATCAAGTAGTTCCTGTGTATTCACAACAGCTTCTCGAAAATATGTCATCAACCCAATGAGAGCAGTATTCCATTTATTGACAATCTAGAATTTTAGCTGAATTAAATTTTGTACAAAAATCTTCACATAAAAAAGTAGAACTAATTATCAATAGATTTAACTTTTTTAACAATTTTACTAAATACCTTTGTAAAAGTTGTGGAACCTGATGCCATTAAAATTTGTCTGACTCGATTATGGAATCTACCTAAACTTTCATCATCAACACGTAAGAAACATTGGGCTGTTCTTTCTTTAGTTATTTCATTCTGAAGATTCCAAACACCATCACGATGAGTGAATTCCTCATGAGTTGTGCGACACTAAAAATAGTGATCCAGAATTTATAAATAAAATTAAAATAAATATGTATTAATCCATTAACAATTTACTTTAGGCAAAATTCTGCATTCAAATCCACTCATATTAAACAATAAATTAGGATTATCCTTGGAGTATACACTAACAAAAGTATTATCCCATTGTATTGTTGTGGTAGATCTTGGTAAACGGTTCTTTATGTCCCAGAAGACAGCTCTTCCTCTACAAAAAAAAGTAGCTGTGTTATGAATAATGAATTCAACAATAATGGAAATGAATACATATTACTTACAAGTTCACATCATGCTTCATTAACCTCATTCTTGCATCTCTAGGCCAACATTTTTTGTTATTGTACCCAACAATATTTTCATTATTGGGATCAGGGTGCTCAGTGAGATATCTTTGAATAAGATCTCGTGCCTCTTCTGCAGAAAATCTATTAAATAAAACGATTAGTAATTTTATAATATGAATATATTAAAATTAATTTACCTGAAAAAGATGTGGACTTTATCAACATATCGGCAAAATAGTCTGATGGGATGAGCAGTTTCAGATGATATGTCTTGGTATGTGAGAAAATCATTTGGCATTTGAGGGGGCCCTGCCATCTCACTAGCTCTTTGTAAACCAAGAACAAGAAGATCCAGTACAAGGCCATAGTATTGTACAATAAATGAAGCAAATTGTAAACCTCTGATGATACCATAACTGTTAGTATGATTCATATCCTGAAAATTGACATCTTATTATATTATATACTTCAATTGAATTATGTATAAAAATAAGTTGAATACAAACCTTATAGTTGATAACCACATTATTTTTTGCAGTCATATAATCAGCTATGTTATGATCAACTATTAAACGTAATAATCTGTTAAGTAAAGTTAAATCTATCTTCTCATACAATTTTTCAAATCTAGACTCTAGCAGCACGTTGCACTCTCCTTCTTGGCATTCCCATACTTCTTGAAGGTTATTTATACCTAAAATTGAAATAAATAATATGCAGTAATATTACTGTGATGTGCAAATTATACAGATGCTTTTTGAATCATAAGTTCACACTTGCAGATATATACATCAAATATGCGTGAGGTTTGTAACAAGGGGATAGTCAAAAATCATCTCATTGTCACAAAACACACACACATTATCAGTGTCATTACTATCTCAACCAAAGTTGTGTTAATATATATTTTATACATACAAGTAATATATCTAATAAAAAAGCAGTAAGTTTAGTATCAATGATTAGAAAAAAATACTCTTAGAATTTTACTGTAAAAACAAAATTGCAAAGTTTAGCTTTTCTGGTTATGTATAATAACGATATGTAGAATGTATAGTCCATTAAAATAAATAAAATTTTCCCTATAGCCTTAAATTTAATTAAAATTTTCTTCAATACAATTATAAATTTTATCTAATAGCACAATAAATTACCTTGACACCATTTATAAACGAGCAATGGAGGTGGCTCAGTATCACTTGGCTTTACCCATGGTGGAAATAATCTTCTCTTATCGGCTTCGTACCACAAGTATTGATCAAGATATGCATCTGTTATTTTTTCAAGTGGTTCTACATCATACACAGGCACAAGATGACTATAAAGATCCATAAACTCTATACCAGTCTGCGATTTAAATCTTCAGTTAGATAAATTGAATATACAAAACATATAATATTTTAATTATGATATGCATCATTCTTCAGATGAAAAATAGTATTCAATATTTCATTATAATATATGTAAACTATTTTATTCATTTTATAATAAAACTAGTCATTAATGAAAAAATGGTATACAAGATACATGCCTCTTTAAATGCTCTTTGTGTAAGTAAATGTCTTTTTATTCTCGACAATGCTTCATGAGGATTATCATAAGCTTGCTCTATAAGCCCTAATTCTTCCCTTTGACTTTGATTCAATCGAGACTTAACACTGCAAATTTAACATTCATTAAATACTATTTACACAATAAATTTAATATTTTAGCTTTACCTGTAAGCTTCTTTTAATCTCTCTAAAGCTAAAATTAGTAGCTTTGTGTCATGCTTATAAGATAATGGAGGAAATGGAATAGGAGCAAATCTCCGTGATTCTAGCCAATGCACTGTTGTTGTATATATAGCAACTGCTTCTTCTGGAGATATATATGGACCATCCTATGAAAAAGAGTCAGAATAAGTTTGTCATATTGCTTAGATTCAAAATTTCTGATCATGTTTTAAGGGTTTACATACTACAGGCAGATTTATTGCATCTAAAAATATTACCTTCAAATAATTATGTTGCCGTTCCTGCTCAGCTTTTAGGTACAACCTAGTAAGCCTACCAAGATTTTTCTTGCAAACAGTTTTGTCTACCGTAGCACCCCTTCTTATTCTTTCACGATTATAATGAGCTGTATTGGTCCACCAGTCAGCTTTCATTTTTACATAACGTAAAATCATATTTTCTATAGGTGTTGGAAGACCAGGAACCTATAAAGATGTAAAATATAATTTACATACAATAGAATGATATTTAAATATTACTGTGCATCTTATTTTTTAATATTAAATATAATACATGCGCCATTTATATAAGAATAAATGATATTAAATATTGTTCACCTTCCATGGTATATTAGCTTTCCAGCATCTCCAAGCTTCAGAAAGATGTTGCAAAATAGTTCGGGCCTTATTTTGCTTGATACCTTCTGGCATCATGTCAACTATGTCATGCATTACAGAAGCACGCAATTCCAAATCGAAGTGTGATTCTACTCTTTGTTTGGTTACAGTTTTGGCAACACCTATTGAATTATAATTGTTGCAAAATTATATTTATGCGACTATATTGACCAAAATGAAAAAGATAAAAACACAAAATTACTAACATGCTTTCAACTAATATTTGAAAGCATGTTAGTTATGTAGTATATAATAACTAAAATTACCTTTAGAGTGACGACCCTCAAACTGTCTAGACAATAAATTACCAAGCCATCGTTCTAATAATGGTGTAATACCTCTCATAAAAAATAACCAAACTCTCCAACCTGGAGCCCAAACACCACATCCAGGTCCCTTTCCTACAGGACCCTGGAAGAACAAAATTGATTGATGGAATGCAGAATATATAAACACACAATTAATATAGATTGATGAAATAACTTACAGTGTTAAATCTGTAATATATAAGATGTTTCAAATCCTTGCACATACGAATTTGTCTCATAAGTTTATATTTGTATCTGTACATTCCAGTTAACTGACCTACATGAGCAAAAATGTACTGCAAACCATCAGCTAATTGAAAAGCATCAACATTGTTCAGTCTATATTGTACATGTGAATCTATTATAAGTTTCGTTAATCGTAAAATTTCTCTACACAGATGAAAAGCTGAAAAAAAAACTCAATAAAAGCAATCATTAATATAAAGGTAATTTTCATACTACTGATAAATACCATTTCCAAAACGAGATTTTTTACGTTCCTTGGTTGTAAGGGTCTTCACAGGCTTTAAATTAAAATTATAATCCAAATGAAGATAATTCAAATTTTTTCGGTGAATTAATAAGTTCAGCATATTATAACCTTGACGACAAACTTGCAAACCTGCTTCAACCCAATCAATTGTAGTTGTTTGAAAAAACTTTGTCGATTTGAAAGATCGGAACAGGTAACTAAAAACAAAAATAAGAAATCAAGTATTTCACTTCAAGGGGATGAATTATTAATTAAACACACCGTTTCTTTTGAGGCTTAGGTGGTCTATGTTTCAAAGCATTTAAAACATAATACTTTAATAACTTTTGATAACTGACTCTAACTTTGACAGGTTGTCCAGGTGGACAATGTTCACGATACCATGTTTTTACCTGCAATTGAACAAAAATAGAATTTTAAATCCATAATAAGCAGGTTTTTTATGAGCATTATTATATTACTTACCAAAGGAATATCTATGGCTCGCCTGCACCTCCCAGAACGCATGTTAAAAGGTCTGGGAGCCCACAATAAAGATATTCCATTTGCTGTATTATCAGTGTATAAAGGAATTTCTTGTAGAAAAGGTTGAACTTCTTGTGGTAAAATAAACTCTTCATCATCAGACGGCAAAGGCTCAAGGCTCTGAAACAAAAAATTTAGTATTTCAAGATATTATATAATATTTATTTGCTGTAAAATCATTAATATCCTATTAAATTTATTAATGCTTAAAAAAATAAATGCTTAAATTACTTTTTTTCAATCTATCAAATAATTATTACAGATATTCAAATACTATATATGAAATATTTACCTTAACGGTGTGTCTGTGAGAAATTGGATTTATCAAAGGATCAAAATAAAATGCTGGTAAATCTGGGTCCTCTGTTTTAATGTAAACAACATTAGGTGTATGGTACCTGTAATAGAATATTGTGTACTACATCACAAATTTAGTGTCCAAATTAAAAAGAAAATGTACGTACATGTAAGCATTATGACAAATATACTTGGATGTCATACCAATATCTTAGCACATGTAATATACCAATTATTGATGAAAAGCGTAAAAGCTTAAATACACTTTTGAATCAAACTTGGATTGAAGAAACATTGAAATTTGAAATAAAGTGATTGTTTTCACTATTATGTAAAATGCTTAGAAATCTATAAAAATAACTTACCATGATAAATGTACATAATGAGGCATATTATTGTATAAATATGGAAAAGCAATTCTGTATTCTGTTCTTATTGGTTGTCTGATAATAATTTTATTAATATCATTGAATTCATTCCAATCTTCATCTCTGTAAATATAATAATACATTAAGAAAAATAATTCTCGATCTTCATAATTTTGATCTACATTAACTTAAAGAAATTGTATGAATTGAAAAAAAAAAAAAAAAATCAACTTACCCTACTGTGCTATCTTTGACTAGAGGTTCAAATTTTGGGCCACCAGGTATTGCCATATTAAGAGCTTTTGCTGTAAAAAAGCTTTTTGGGTCAAATAAGTAAAAGAAATTTGTATCTACCAGATCTGTCAAAAGCTGATTTGCCAGTCGATACAATGTGGCCATCTGAGGTAGCGCTAAATTCCACTTGCGATAAGTTGATCCATTCACGTACCTACAAAATATTTTAAACTCAGTATATCAGAATAATTATCCATTATACTTTTGGATCATTTATCTTACTTAGTTCCTACTAAAGGCTTGTGTTCATAAAACCATTTAGCAACAGAACCATCCTCATCAGAATCAAGTTCAATTTGAATAGCTTCTAGTGGTTCAACATCTAAAACATTGTCAGCATAATCCAATGGAGGTTCTTCATCATCAAACGGAGGAAAACGCATACGTTTGAAATGCCTACGATCTCGTTTTTCACGCCTCATCATGATCCACATAGTTCTAAAAAGTTTCATAAAAAACTTGTTGAAATGTTTATTTGGCATAATTAAAATCAATCAAATAAAAGCAATTACCCCCATTGTGCAATATATACAGGCTCAATAACCCAAGGTATTTCATTTACAAATGTTATAGCACCAGTTATGTGATACAATACCGAGACATCACGAATTTGTTCCCATGGCATTGGCATGTTTTCTAAAAGTTTCATAACGGCATGTGGCATGTATTTTAAAGCTCTGTAAAAACAATTATTATAAAAACTTTATTAAACCATAAATTACAATAACAACTAACCCCAAATAAACTCTTTTATCATGACGATATTTTCTACTTGTCATATCTCCATGGTCTCTGATAATTTTACGAATGTGCTCAGGTGGCATATCTTCTTTTTGAGCATCAACAAATCCGAATTTGCGTTTCTCTGCAAATCTTTTTGCTTGCAGCTGTTGCCATTTTTGTGCTATAACAATTAAATAAAATAATTGCTCAAAATAATTATGAATTTGTTTATATTTCTGTTATTTAAACAAACCTTTTTCTTGCAATTTCTCTTCACTAATATGATCAGGTTTAGGGATTGGTGGTGGTATTTGCATTTGCTGTTGATGAACTTGCTGAAGATGAGCATGATGATGAGCCATTGCTTGTGCATGATGTGCAGCGGCTAGCTGCTGCTGGGCCATTAGTTGTTGGGCCCACGGATTGGGGCCCAACATATAAGGTGGTAAGGCCATGGCTTAAGAGAACGGAAAAATGTCTCTATACCTGTAAAAAGTAATATAAAGAATATGCATTTAATATTATTTAAATATCAATATATGAATTTGGTAGTAGATATTGGGATAACTAAACCAATTCTATTTTGTGTTCATTCAATATATAAACAAGTACAAAAATGTAAAATCAAGGTATCTTAAAATGTATTTCTAATAAATATCTAGACATACAGCACTTTGTAGAAAAATGGTTTGACATCAAGTATAAAAAATAATAATCCAACTCGTTCAGGTATATGGAATAAGATATTGATCCATTAAATATAAGCATATAAAAATATGAATAACATACCTTAAATTATAATAATAAAATAATTTAATTTATTTATACGCATTTACATCGCCATAACCATGTATAAGCCGTTAAGAAGAGTCACACAACGAACCAATTTTTACGAATATTTTATGCTAATATACTCATCTTATTGAGTTTACATTATAACATAGCAAGAAGAAACAGTAAAATTAATCAGTGATCGTAATGAAAATAATTCCACTCGGACTTTTAATGACAAACTTTAATAGACGAATTGATAAATTCACCATGAAACAAGATGTGTTACCAGCAGTAAATAACATCACAATTTGGTGTTACCTGAGAACACTATGGATTTAGGCTTATTTATCTATGGTTTTAGACATAAGCATAGATAGAAGAAGAGTAGTATATAGATCGCTCTCTCGGTATTTCGTTGCCACGTTTTCCGACCAAAACTGTCAATTTGCCGGAGTTAGTTCAAGATGCTCTACCTTGGTGCGCTCGCGCCGACCGTAGAACCGGTGTGTACAAAAATAATGCACCTATATTATATATTTTGTATTCAGAATTTAAAAATAATGAAATTAAATTTTAAAACGCATTTATTTTTAACATAATATTTTACATACATGATTATAAAAGTTGGTATTCAGCCTTATAAGCTAAGCACAAATAGAATAGAAACACACACACACACACACACATATATATATATATATATATATATATATATATTACTATTTGCCAAAAAGTGTAAAACACATTTTATACGTTTTACATTTTTTGACAAATAATTAATATCGACATACATTTAAGATCATTAATTTAAGTATTTACATCCTGATATATGAAAACAACACGCACACATATATATACACAGTTTTTAAGAGTCAAGTGTTTTTTTCAAAAATCTTTTCGTTCAATAATCAGTTTGTCACCAACAGTCGTCTCATAAGTCATAACATCGAGAGAATAATACTTTCTGTCTCAAATAATAAAATCAAAAAAGACAAAATTTAAAGAAATTTGAATTAAAAAATTGTTTATCCGCCTGAAAAGGAATTTATAAATTCACTTTTTTTGATAAAATCTTTTTTAGTGAAAAAGTGTTAGTGTATATTATTATAGAAATTTATAAATTCACTTTTTTGATAAAATCTTTTTTAGTGAAAAAGTGTTAGTGTATATTCAATTATACAGGTAATTTATTCTGTTTTTTTCAGCAACCTTTTCTTAAAACTTTCTAATTTTTAACATTTTTAACATTTTGTTATATAATCCATTCATTTGTTTTTATCATTTTCATTTTGATTATATTATCATATTTGCTTAAATCTTATCAAGATCATGTTTCTTGACAGATGTCCTAAAGATGGAACGTACCTAGTTCCGAAACGTCGACAGTAAATAAATAAAGAAATGGTTGTATAAAAAAACTTTTTTGTTATAATATATATATATATATATATATATATATATATATATATATATATATTACGTTGTACAATATTTTAATTTAAAACGTTTAAATAATTATTCATATTTCTTTAATTAATTATTGCAAGTTTTAGTTTAATTTATAATTTTATTATTTATCTAAGTTTTATCCTGATTATTTGAATGATTACATAGTAATAATAAAATAATCTCTGTTTCAGTTTAGTAGTAAGAAATAAAATCGTCTAAATTTTATATAGTTATTGCAAAAGTCATCAAAAGCATTCTTTTAGTTTGCAAATAAATATGAAAATTCAATCGTTGTATATTATTGAATTAATAATATATAACAAATAAGAGGGTAACAAACAAGTTAAAAAATTCTTAGGGAGATTGGTATTAATATAACATTTTAATACTTCATATTTGAATCATATGCAGAAGATTGTTATAAGTCTAATTAAATTTCGAATTTTGCCTTTGCATTTGATCATCAATATTTTTAATAACAATCTCCCTTAAGAACATTAAACAAATCTAACAGCTATAAATAATTATCTAATTATCTCACTTTTAATATCTAATATATTTCTCAACCGATTGAGAAACATGTTCTCCATTTTGTAATAATGGGAGGCACCCGAATTTAGGAAATTCCGAGACGTTTTTTCCAAAAGTTTGTTCAGTCCAGAAATGTAGAAAAATCAATTGTTAGATCTTTTATAACATTGTTCGATAATAAAATTCCACAATTGCATTTTTGTTAAGGAATACTATTGAAGACAAGTAAAGCTACAAGATTTTATTGGATTATATTTTCCTAAAATATTGAAAGACTTTTAGTTCTGTTTCAACTCCGAAACGATACACAACATTAATACTGCTTTAAGTAGATTTTTTAAAAAAGAATTTTAATATTGATTCTTCAAAGTTAAAAGTATAATTTTATTATAATCATGAGTGAACATTGTGTTTTAATACTATCCTTCGACGAAATTGTAATTGACAAAATGTATATTTATACAATTGGATCAGAATGGATTTTTCGAAGCAATACTGAAAATACTCATATAATTTTCATAAAAAATAATAACACTACAAATAGTTTATTCAAAACCAATAAGTTTATACAAATTTATAAGGTACATCGAATCGAACAGGAAACTCATAAAGGTAATAATAGAAAATTAGTTGAAAATTTGTTGGCATTTTGTAATATTGATATTAGTAATATTGTATAATTTGCATGATAATTTGATTAATCAAGAAAATATAATGTTAATCCTCAATTAGCAAACAAAAATGTAATGCATTGTAAATGTGCTGGAGGCGATAAATATTTTATTAATACGTTTTGTGATATTTAAGCTGATCACCCAAACGAAAATAGGAAAGGCAAGCCATTAAAATAGACTAGTAAATTATGACTATTTGCAAATTAAAGCATTTTAGAACACTAGAGTAGGATCATAGGACCTAACATAAAAAGTATTTAAAATAATGTCAAAAAATTATTTTACAGATAGCATATGGTATAAATATATATTTATAAAAATTATAAAAGTTTTAAGTTAAGTGTTAAGTTTAGATTTAACCATATTTTAACATTCGAATTTTAATACAAGTTATTGATTTTAATCAGAAAGAATAGCTATGAACTATAAAAAATTATATTTAAATGTCATACATTTAATTTTATTACACCTAAAAATATGTATTTTTCAGAAACATACGATATAAATGCTATGGGTAATAATGTAAAAGAAGATTTTAGAAACAACATTCCATCGTCATGTAGAGCATCTGTGAATATGAATGATTTGGATCAAAACGGTCCACAAACATTTCCATTTAAATCTTTTGAAGAATTTATGGAATTTGATGAACGAATGCCAATTGAACAACTACTGTGTGCCGAATTGGTAAGTGTAAAACTAATTTTAATAATATAATTTATTTTAACATGTCTGACACATTTTAAGATGCTAGAACATATGTATATTTTAACTAGTCGTGTATGGCATTATGCCTTAGACAAATTGCTGGAACCCGTACCAAAAATTAGTTTTTTTTTTAAAAAAGATTAAATTATTTCTTGAACTTTGAAAAAATTAGATTTTTGAGAAATTTTAAATTTTGAATGAAATTGAATTTTTGAAAAAAAAACTTTTGGATTTTTTTTATTTTGAAATATTTTGAAAATTTTGAACTTTCAAAGCAATCGCACTGCTTTAGCTGCATAGAGACAAAATATTGAAGCGCGTAAGCGCCGCATTGCCGTCTTACGGGCAAACGATGTTACGAAACCCATAGATCTATGAAATGTGATCTAATATCTAAAGCTAATTTTCGAAATGTAAACAAAATTGATACACATCATTAAAATCTCCATAAAATATCTGATAATTTGATGTGCATATGTCTAATGATCATTTTTGGCCGCCAAGTGGCATTTTTTTAACCGGATCTCCGAAACCGCTAGACCTGCCACCTGAAAAATTTGATCAATTAATCAATCAATCAATACAAATAAAATGTTTTTGAAATTATTAAAATCGGTTTTGAAAACTGATTTACCGTTTTAAATCTAACCAGCACGTCTCCTTATCCGAATATGAATTGAATGTTTTTTTAAATATTCAAATCAGTTGATCGGTGTTCCTGAAATCGTCGACGAAAATTTGTATCCGCACACACACACACACACATACATACATTTTTTCTAAGGTACGCCAAAATGTTCAGAAACCTTTGAAACGTAAAATTATATAAAAACTTTCATTTTCGATTTTTTGCGATTACTATAACTTACGTAACGGGTACCCTATGGGAAGTTAATAAATGGTCATCAGCAAAAAAATTCTATGTTTTTTATTAATGTTTATAGATATAGAATGAAACAATAACAATCTAATAATTTATACAGTCCTGAAAAAGTTTTAGCAAATATAAAAACAGTTCGTAATTTTTTTTAGTTTTCAAAATTCGAGTGAATCGTTAGTAAAACAAAAATTTAATATTTTGAACTAATGATGGAAACTTTATGCGAAAGATGTCGTTTTATATATTCCATAAAATAGAACAAGAATATTTCGTTCCAAGGGTTTTCCTTGTACACAACAGATGTCTGTAACATTTTCTTATACATAGAGGATAAATACCACATTTTAAAGTGATTATTTTCACAAAATTGCATTTGTAATAGATAAGTGTTTAAACATTTTTTCATCAAATGTTACTATTTCTATACCTTTTTGGTTTTGTCGTTTTTGTTTTCATTTCATTTTTCTACTCAAAATGAAAATAGATTTTTTATTAGGCTAAATGATGCCCCTTGAATTTGTTTCATGAATTGTTCTTCCCTGAAAGTTTTTTTTCAAATAAAATACCTGTCTTTCATGGTTTCTAATAGATGTAAATTATTCACAAAGCTATCTTATTGTCATGTTAGGCTCTATTAATACGTAACAATTAATAGACACATATAATACATTTTTTATTTTCAAATTACTGAATTTGCTATTTAATAAATAAATTTAGAATATCTTTCAAAATAGCATATTATTTTCTAAGTATCGTTTAAAGCTTTCAAATATAGTTATGTAATTTATTCGTCTCTAATCATCAGCATAATGCAATATAACAAGCATAAATATAATAAAATTCTTTTCATAAATTGTGACAAATTATTTAAAAAACCACCTACTGGTTGAATTTCTACAGAGTTTACTTTAAACACATTTTGCAAGAAATAATTTCAATTTGCACTGTTCTCAATTTTTGCATGTTAAATATTAAATGCACTTAAATGTATATTTGGATTAATTTTTCAATTAAAAAGACAAGCAAATTATAGACTTTTGAAATAAGTTTTACATTCATTTTGTTGTTTCATGAGTTGCAATTTTCATTCAAATGCAGTCTTTATATGTTACTTATGTTTTAGAATCAACAGCCTAATTGAAAGCGAGTTTTTACCTATATTTTGTAGTAATCTTATCTAATAATTTTCATCATATTTTTATTAAAAAGAGAATGGAAACTTTTATCCACAATTGGAAAATACAATTATTAGCTTATTATTGAATTAACATTAAACGGTATAGCATTGATATCAATGTATATAATTACCAGTCCAGCAATGTGGCGATCGTATATTTAATATTTCTAATTCTATTTCAGATTAATAAAATTTGGCCATTAATTAAAACAAATATGAGAATATCAACATCATTATCCTCTATACTTCAGAAACTTTTTACAGAAAGTTTATGTAATCACTTAAATGACGCTGCAATCACAAAAATGTTTATAGAGAGCAATTTTTACTCGTGCGTGATGGGTAAGAAAGTTAATCCCTTTTACCTGTATTATACCTATAACTTTACATTTATTGCATGTATATGAATAATTTTAATATTTTTATTGTATTTAATTCTTTGGTCTTGCAGAAATCATGCGTTGCAAATACGAAAGCAATCCACAATCTGAATTTTACAATGATGAAGAGTTTGAAGATATAAAAAATATTTTTGTAGAAGCAAGTCGACGATGGCTACACTTACCAGAAAAACAGACAAAAACAAAAATTATTATTAAATCTCTGAATGAGTTGGCAGATTTTGAGCAACGATTATTAAAGGATAAATCATTTTATGATTCCATTGTAAGCTTTATTTTAAAAAAATTAATAAGTGTGTGAATATTTAATAATAGTTTTTTAAGACTTCATGATGAAAAGGATTAATTTTAGAAGCTTTTCTGAAGGAATGCACGTCTTATTAAATTCTTAACAAATAGTTAATTGACAATTGACACTACATCAGGTGTATTCTGTGATTGTTTTATTTTTAAATTCCCGAAGGATAAGTTTTGTTTTCTTCAAAAAATCCGATTTGCTAATTTTATTTTTTCTCGACGTTTCAAGCCATTCTGAATCGAATGAGACCAAATTTGTATAAAGTATGTATGTGATACCGACGTTTACTTAAAAACGGCTGGATCGATTTCAAAAATTTAAAAGCCTTTCAATGTATCTCGATGACGACTAACGTTTATCAATTTTGCACGACGATCAGCCAAGCCGTTTCTTTATAAATAATAGAGAAGTAAATTTTTTTTCGTCCACGTATTAGCCCGCAATTCTGAATCTATTTTGAAAATTCAAATTAGACCTTAGTTTTCTCAAAAACGCCTGAACCGATTTCAGAAACTTAAAAGCCATTTGATATATCTCAATGAGGACTATCGTTTGTCAGTTTTGTGCGACGATCTGTCGAGCAGTTTCTTTGTAATTTAGAAAAAAGTGTTAAACTTTTCGTTAGTACCGTAGTAGTCTCATACTACCGAATCGATTTTAATAAATTAAAAACTTTTCGAAAGATATTAGTTGGGAATGATACCATTAGTATCATTCTCCTAAAACTATTTTTCTCCTAAAACGATTTTCTCCTAAAACTAATTAGTATCTTACTAATTCGTTTTAGGAGAAAATCTACCGAGCCGTTTTCTTGTAATTAACTGTTGAAAAAAAAAATTTTAAAACGATATTTATGGAACTTTTTTTGGTGATATATATCATGGTTTTATAGAACTCACTGAAATATTCCGGTCTTACGATGAGTAGTTTAATTTTAAAAAATCATCAAAGTTTGAGAAAATGAGTAGTTTTTTTGACGTCTGTTAAAATTAAAATTAGACGATTTACTTGGCATAACGATAGAGTACTTGGTCTTAATGAACATACTAAACCATTTAAGACCTACGGAAACTGATTCAATTATAAAAAAAAATGATTTTTGAGAATTTGCTTTTAGAAAATACTCCGAGTTACCGTTTTCAATTATATGTGATAAATCCACTCGGAATACTTTTAATCACTCATAAATTAATTAATTTTTTATTGATTACCAACTAGTTAAATTTTATTTTCTTCTAAATTATATGCAATTTTTTAGTAATTACGAAATCAATACCTTAAAATTGTGATAATTTTTTTTTTAATGTGAAAAAACTAAAGTTTTAGTTGTTTGTATAAATCTTTATATTCTTGCATTATTTTCCAGGCATGTAAATTATGGGCACTGACAAATCCAGAACATGGACTGACTGAGATAATATACAGCATTTTAAACAAATTCTTTGCAAGAGAAATCTTGTTGCAAATCTATGCAATAAAGCAAATTTATTCAACAAATATATTATTGGACACAGTATTTTGTGCTTGTTTGTATGGTAAATATCGTACATTTAATTATTATATCAATTAGTACATAATAATATTATATATAATAATAACTTATATTATTTGAGTATAAATTTAAATGTATTTAATATTATCTAATTAATAGTTTAATGTTGATACTTTCATTTCAGATGTTATCCAGACTGAATACAAAACCTTCAATAGTTCAAATCTGTTTGGAGAATTAGAATTCTATGCGGCCTTAGAAAACGCCATAAATATTATTGCAAATTAATTAAGAACAATTAAATTAGTTGATGTGTCTTTTGATATCGAGTATTAAAAATAATGAGGCATATTTTATATAAGTTTTTAGTTACTATTTCTTGTTATTATATTAGATGCATTATAAATATATGGAATGTTAATAAAATTATATCATGTATGTGCATTTTTTTAAACAAAAAACCAAGTGAAATGTATATATATAATTTGATAACGTTTTAGTATCCGTACTAACATGGTAAGCAAATTAAATCTTAATCTTAAAACGATCTATCTCAAATTTTCAATAAATATTGGCAACTGTCATTTTAATTTGTTTTTTTTTTTAGTTTAAAACTCAAAAATTATTTAAATTTTTAAAAATTGTTATTTCTAATATTAAATGAGATTTTGAATAAAGCCTATTATGTCACCTAAGTTGGATATTTATGCACACGATATAAGCCAATAAAATTTAAAATCGGTACAGTAGTTTAGGAGTCCATCGCGAACCAACACCGTGATACAAACTTTATATATATTCAAAAAATTTTAAAGCAATAAATAAAAATAAACATAAAATTTTGGTGCCGGATATCCTTTAAAGAATCACTCATAGAGTGATTTAACAATATCTAACTATTAGCGTACAAGAAATAATTTAATTAAAAAATCTAAAGAAAAAATTAGATGCAATCTATACAATTTCTCTCTTTGTGCGACATTTTACATTTGTCGAGATAATTCTGTGGGAAAGGGTTTGTGGGAATTTGCCTCGAGCCTCGAGCTTTGTTAATTCCATGCAATAATATCAAAATAAACATCTTATAGTGCGAGGGTGCGTTTGCTCTGAGGGTCGCCTTTTGTTCAAATCAAGGCAACTTGGCAGTATTTGCCTCGATATATAACAGTAAATTGACTACTTTTTACAAAATAATTTGTATAAACATGTTTGCGATTATTTTTAAATCGGTTCTACAAATTTGGACAGAAATAAAGTTATGTGTGCATAAAGATTTGTATAACTTGTTCAACCTAACATCTCAATAAAATGGGATTATTGTATTTAACATTTACAATACCGGAAGATTTATTGCAAAGCCACATTTTGTTAATAAATGCAATTAAAAATTAAATCATTTAAAATTTTAAAATTTTAAACATTTCATATTTTCTAGGAAGTTTTAGACTCTATTAATGAAAATCATTTTGGAGATATTCTGGACAAGAATCTAAAGTAATTAATATTATTACTTATTATTGCTTGTTTATATTAACAAATAATAATAAATAAATAATTACAAACACCCAGCTGAATTAAACATGGATTATATATGTCTATATAAATATTATATAAAATACTTTCATTTGAAATTGACTTTCAGTATATTGACTAAACCGAATGAACTCATCACAAAACATAAAACGTATTGAACAATGTTCAGTTCAGTGAAATTCCTAGATAATACTCAAATATAGAAAAATATTTTTACTTAATTTACAGTTTTATTTACTATTTTCTTCTTGTTTATACTTTTAAAGTGAAAGAGTTACTACAGGTGTAAGTTTTTATAGAAATTGTATAAGAAATAACTCTTAACAATTAAGTAGGGTAGAGCGGGGCTAGTTGAGCATAGGGGCAAGTTGAGCAATCGAAATATCTCGAAAACTATTCACCGTTCGCTTAGGCATCATATGGCGGAAATATAGAGGTTTGGGAGGAATAAACATCCCGCGATCGCTAGTGGCTGCTGGACAAATGAGTGAGGCTCACGGGCGCTTTGTTTATTTTGAGACCAAATTCTTGATGCACAGAGATTCTGGGTATAATTTTCACGGTTTTTTTATAAACTCACTTTTATTTTGAAATAGAGTTGGGGTTAGTTGAGCATAGTTGCTAAATTTGTACTGTCACTAAGGCAATTACCTTTAACTTCTAGAAATTAATTATTATTTTTATGATTTAAGCTAAATCTATGAGTAATAATATAAAGAAATAATGATTTTAAACAAAAATACTGAATATAATGGTAAAATAATTCCCAAGATACGATATTGTTTTGTTGATTCTACTTTTCGTTAATTATTCAAAGCAAACTACTATAAGTTTTGTTTTCTCTATCAATAAAGATTATAAATATAGAACTGGTTTTTAAAAACTTATTTTATTTCATCATTAATCGACATTGAACCTATGGTTTCATTATACTTTCTTAGTGCTCAACTTGCCCCACCTATGGGGTACATTGAGCATACTTGACTTTTTGCATTTAAACAGCTGTAGCTTTTAAATTTTACTTATTATTAAAAAAAAATAGTATTAACACTTTTGTCAAGCGATAAACAACAAATCCATTAAGCCTTATAGCAATTTATTGAGACTTTTCATTAAGGAGCTACATCCGTTTAAGTAAAAATTTGCTCAACTAGCCCCGCCCTATCCTAACATATACTTGAAAATTATATTCAGGTATCATAAACTAAATTAGAAAGCACAGAAACAAAAAATAACTAACTACAAAAAAATACGGTTGTTATGAATATTGATAGATGGCAGTTTTTCTCTTGATAGCGATCACTCTACCTTATATATATATATATATATATATATATATATATACATAATGATATTATGAAAAACATTGGAAATTTTTAATAGCGACATATAAAACATCAGTGCTTTTACTTTAATTATTCCCAAGTGCAATACTATATTACTAGATAAAGCTTTTGTTGAAGTAAAAGAAGATAATGAAACATGTATAACTACAGTTACTTAACGGTAATAATGCATTACGATATGATTCAATGCTACTATAGTCAACCTAGTGAATAAGTGATTGAGTCAAATTTCGGCCAAAACGTCTCAAGTCGCGGCATTAACTATTTCTCTGAAAATAATCAATAAACTGAAAAAAATATTGTTTGGAAACAAACTTTATATAAAATTTAAACGATTAATTCAAACATGCGATATTACACAAGTAATAAAACTTTGAAGCCAAAATTTGTGGAAATTGTGATTATTAATTTAACCACTTATGAACTGGAATGGCAGATATAGTATAATTTTTTTATATATAAAAATGGAGCTCTCTTTCAAATGTCCGAATAAAACTCGAAAACGGCTGAATCGATTTGGCCAGTCTTTGTCTTGAAAAATTTGTGCCAATCCAGAGATGGTCGGAAAGGTGAGAAATTATTTCAAATCCGCGTAGAAACTTTACATTTTTAATTTGAAAATTTTTGTAGAAGCGTAATTTAAATAAAACAATGGGCGGTGGCAATTTCGTGAAATGTCAAAAGCTTTTGACAGATGATGTTCAATTACGTTTTAAGTAGTTTTGTTTGTAGTTTTATTTATATACAAAACGTTAGTAAACGGGCCGCAAGTGTTACTAGAGACTCAAAATATAAACTTTTTTGATATGTTAATATGCAAATGCACTTTTTGGCATATTTTTCTCAAACACGGTGCTCTGAAAGATCTCATTTGTATAATTATATACTCATTGGTATTTATGAAACATTTTCTAGGTTATATTATTTTTTATTTATCTTATTTAAATTCAGAACCTAAATTTGGTATCGATCAAATGGACATTTTGTTGAATAACATTTTTCCAGTTATAATTTCCCAGAATTTATCGCAGAATAGATAGTAATATATGAAGGTCCGGGATTAAAAAGGTCCACCGCCGATGTGCCAAAAATCAGTAAAGTTAAGCATTGTTTAACAACAATATTTGAAAGTAGAGGAAAAGAGATGTATAGCCAGCTACGAACTTGATTTGAAAACGATAATCTTTGAAATGGGGGAGATAAACGGTAATCTTTGAAAATCCATAATAATTTTTATTTATATTGTATTTTCTTCCGTCGGTAGTTTTAGCATTAGTTAAAAATATAATTATTTTGTAAAATACCTTTAAAATTATAATAAGGCTTTAACTCTTTTGCCACCTGCCCGTTACAAGTTACCCCGCATATAGGATAAAAAGGTCTAGATAACAAATTTTTGGAAGACATCAAAAAAGCACATTTCTATGTGTTCAATGATGGAGTAGAAGTCAGTTTACTGAACGTAGTCAGATAATTGTTCGTTTGATGACTTATTTGTTGTGATATAATTGTTATGGTTTTCACAATATAGTTTATATTTGCTCAATGTTAAATTGGACCTTTGTGTCTCGCCTTGCTCTACATATATACTTTTTATTAAATTTACGTTAATTCATCGAATATAACTTGAAACTTTTCAAAAAGCAGGTCAAAGAAGAAATACTTAATTAATTTTTTATCTCTCCTCGCAAAAATTTGAAAATTTTGTATAAGCTCAGTAGTATTATTTACAATTATACACAAAATCTGGAATCCAAAAAGAATCTGAAAAACTTGAAACGTAATTAATAAGCCCAAAGGCCAAAAAAGACTCGGATTGGATTATACGATGTTTTCTATAGAAAGTGTATAAAACTTGCAGTTTGATTGTATTGACAAAATATAGACAAACTAATGGGGTTTATTGTTTTTATAATACCTAATTGTATACAGCATTCAAACAACACATCCTTATGCACTTAAAGTATTAATATTTTTGATGCTCTAGAAATGGTTTAGAATATACCTTATTCAGCAAAACAACGTTTGCCGGGTCAGCTAGTATAATTTATAAAAACGCAATAAATATAAATAGCGTTTAGTATATTTTCCCGCTTATACAAAAACATGCACGCCGATTTAATCAATTTCGATATATTTACGTATAATGGATACACCGTAACGCTACGTTATCATCCGGGCGTGAACCCATCGAGTCCGCGACACCTCCACGGTGTGAACTCCGGGCGCCCGGAAAGCGCTGTGCAGAAAGCGGCAAAGCAAAGAAAAAACACATCAGAAGCCGTGACTCCGCAGAAAACGCCCCTCGTCCAATAGGCACGGGTCTAGGTGTGGCCCCGTTAGGCTTGCGCGAGTTGATATTTTCGGTAACAAAATGGTACAACCGCCAAGAGCAAGCGACGACGAACGGCGCAACTGTATACACATTTTAACCGCCGAGGATCAGCCACTCCATTGGCGGAGAGAAGCCGGATTTATCCCACCAGGATCCGTATCGATCACTTATTCTGGGGAGGGATGGATATTGTACAATGTGTACAATATGCACAATAAACGCGCGACCCCCTCCATGGCGACATGATACGCTATTGTGATATTGTGTATTACAAAGTTTCGAGAAGATCCCAGCCAAAGCATTGCTCTCGCGACAGTTATACAGATTGTTAACAGAAAGCTCTGTTACAAAACGTTTTGAAACCGAATTAGACGTGTTTTTGTGTCCAATTAAGTGACCAGTTTTATTGTTAAGTGATATTGTTTCTAGAAATTTCTAATCATTTTCTAAGTGATTGTTAAAGACTGACGAACTTAATCATGGTGGTGAATTAAAATACTTAAACGAAATTCATTAATAAACTAGTTCACAAATTATTTTTAATTATAAAAAGTTAAAGATATTAATTTCTCAACCAATGTGCTTAAAGATTGAACATCAGATTTAAAAAAATTAAATTAAAATGAAAGGAGATTAAAGAGAATTAAATTAAATTATAGAGATTAAAGAGAATTATTTTTTTTCCCAATTTTGATCCTTAATTAATTAATTAATTAAAGAGAATTAAATTTTTTCCTAATTTTGAATTGGCATAAACATATGTGACCCGTGCGATTGACAATGATTAGATAACTGATACAAGTGTTGTTTATTATATTAATTCAGTGAAATATTTTAGGACAAAAATTATTCAAAAAATATAGAAACAATTTTACCAATTTAGTGTAAATTAATATGATAAATCCTTCCAAATTTTCTATAAAAACACATCCAAGAAACCAAAATAACTAAGAATATCTGAACTTACAATATCAATTAATTAATTTTACTATCCAATTATCCCGGTACAAATATTTCTTTTACCATGTCCTTGCCAAGTGGCGTGGACGTGAGTGCCCTCATGTCTCAGCACGCGGTTCTGGGCGGTTTACCACCCGCGTTCTTCTTGCGCGCTTCGGAGAGGTACCAGAGGACGCCGAAATGCGCCCGCTGCCGAAATCACGGAGTCGTGAGCGCTTTGAAAGGACACAAAAGATATTGCCGGTGGAGGGATTGCGTTTGTGCTAAATGCACCTTGATCGCTGAAAGACAACGGGTCATGGCTGCACAGGTAAATAACAAATAGATCGAATTTATTTATAGGAAATGGATTTAGTTAAGTCGTTTTACAATCCTAACAAGAGCCTGTTTATTTCCCGTCACGGACAACCGATATCGAGCAGAGGCAATATCTATCATCACTTGAAAATACACTGGAGCCTCGCTTTACGGCCGAGATACGTTCCGCGAGACTTGGCCGTAAAGCGAAAAGCCGTATAACGAATCAATTATTCTAATACGTATTCATACAAATTCAATGGGATCGGTTCCAAATTTAAGAAATATATAATATGGTTTATCATTCAAAATGCATTTTATTTTTTTATTTTGTTTAAATTATAAACAAATTTAACAAGAACATAAATTTTACATAAAATAAAAAACTTCAAAAACATTACATAATTTTCAATTAAAAATGAAACAACTAAAACCTACAGATCACTGTCACCATCATTTTGCGCTGGTGGTTTGAAAAATTGGTCTAAAGTTGTTTGTCTTGCCTTCTTGTCTATTTCTTCCTTTAGTGATTTATTATTATTATTATTATTCCCTTGTTCAAAATATGAAAAAGCGCTCGACATGATTTTTGATGTTAGCTGTTTAGATACAACAGGTTCTGTATCTTCATCAATTGCCGGCTCAACTTGCAACTGAATGAGTTCCTCATATGAAAGAGGTTCCCTATCAGCTGCAAGTAGATGCAGCACATCAGATTCGTTTAAATCTTCAAAACCGAGATTGCGCAATATATCGACAAAGAGAAAAAAAGCCGTTATAGCAAAACATTTTAGGCCGTATATCGAAAACGTTCCTTAATTAAAGAGGGCCGCTATATCTAAAGGCCGTATAAAGAGCGGCCGTATAACGAAACCTAATACATCTTAAATATATTTCCAAGTGAAAATAGACCTTCAATATTTAAAAAAAACATTGTCTTTGACAGAATAAACCTGATGATGGAACGTATCTAGCTCCGAAACGTCGTTATTAAACATCTTCAAAAAAAACAAATTGTTTTTATTATGGATTTATTTAAGTCGTTTTACAATCTTAACAAAAGCCTATTTAATTCCTCCCACTGATATCGAGCAGTGGCAATGTCTATCATCACTTGAAAATATACATCTTGAATATGTTTCCAAGTGAAAATAGACCTTCAATATTTTAAAAAAACAATGTCTTTGACAGAATAAACCTGATGATGGAACGTATCTAGTTCCGAAACGTCGTTATTAAACATCTTCAAAAAAAAAACAAATTGTTTTTTATTGTGGATTTATTTAAGTCGTTTTACAATCTTAACAAAAGCATGTTTAATTCCTCCCACCGATATCGAGCAGTGGCAATATCTATCATCACTTGAAAATATACATCTTGAATATATTTCCAAGTGAAAATAGACCTTCAATATTTAAAAAAAAACATTGTCTTTGACAGAATAATCCTGATGATGAAACGTATCTAGTTCCGAAACGTCGTTATTAAACATCTTCAAAAGAACAAATTGTTTTTTATTATGGATTTATTTAAGTCGTTTTACAATCCTAACATGAGCCTGTTTATTTCCCGTCACAGACAACTGATATCGAGCAGTGGCAATATCTATCATCACTTGAAAATATACATCTTAAATATGTTTCCAAGTGAAAATAGACTTTCAATATTTAAAAAAAACATTGTCTTTGACAGAATAATCCTGATGATGGAACGTATCTAGTTCCGAAACGTCGTTATTAAGCATCTTCAAAAAAAAAACAAATTGTTTTTTATTATGGATTTATTTAAGTCGTTTTACAATCCTAACAAGAGTCTGTTTATTTCCTGTCACGGACAACCGATATCGAGCAGTAGCGATATCTATCATCACTTGAAAATATACATCTTAAATATGTTTCCAAGTGAAAATAGACCTTCAATGTTTTAAAAAAACATTGTCTTTGACAGAATAAACCTGATGATGGAACGTATCTAGTTTCGAAACGTCGTTATTAAACATCTTAAAAAAAAAACAAATTGTTTTTTATTATGGATTTATTTAAGTCGTTTTCAATCTTAACAAGAGCCTGTTTAAATCCCGTCACGGACGACCGATATCGAGCTGTACCGATATCTATCATCACTTAAATATACATCTTAAATAGACCTTCAATATTTAAAAAAAAAACATTGACTTTGACAAGTAAACAAGTTTTTTTTGATATGGTATTAATTTCAATATTTATCCAATTATTTGTTGATATGAAACTATTTTATAATATTTTCGAATTAAGTAGTTTTTTAATATAAATAATGTTTTTATAATCATCGCACTGATTTATTTTTATGTTACATAAGTGTATCTAAAACTATATCTGATAGTTTAACTTTAGTTTAATAATCTCTACTTTATTCAACTCTTATGACATGTTTTACTGTATAATTATATTACTTTATATTATTTATATTGTAATATTGCAATGACTTAATTTTATATTAGAATTGAGCATTCAAGACTATGCCTTTAGTACTTATATAAGTTAGTATCCATCTAAGCACTAACTAATTTAATAGTTTAATTGAATATATAAATTTCAATTATTTTCAGCACTTATAACATTTATACTTGCACAATTTACTTTAGATCATTTAAGATCACGAAAACTTTCACAATTCATGATAATGTAAAAGCTTTGATCTGCTGATTAAAATTATCTTTAAATGTATATTTTAATTTATTTTATTATAACTCATTGTTTATATTGAATTCTATTAGTTTATTTGCAACATTTTGAAAATTCCGAAAGAAATGTCTTTTAACAATAAGAATCGGAAAAAAGAAAAATTGAAAATGATCGAAATTGACAAGGCAATAGCATTAATGTTATGAAAATTAATTAATGTAATTTAGTACTGCAACAAATATAACAAATATTTGTAATGTAAATTAATGTAATAATTAACTTCCCGTAGGGTAGTTATAGTAATGGGCTAAAAATCGAAAATGAAAATTTTTGCATTTCTCGACGTTTTGAAGGTTTCTGAACATTTTGGTATACCTCTTTAACAGAAAAAATGGATGTGTTTGTGTGTGTTTAATATGTCCACGTTTTCGGGCGCACGGATTAACCGATTTGAATGGTTCATAAAACATTCGATTCCTATTGATAGGGAGATGTGCTGATTAGTTTTTGGCAAAGACAGTCCAGCCGTTACGGAGATACGGAACAAAGAGTGCAGAAAATACAAATCGAATTTTTGAGAGAACGGAATGTGCGATTTGAATTATCTAAAAAACATTCAATTTGTAATGATTGGGTGAAGAGCTGATTAGTTTTTAGCAAAGGCAGGTCCAGTCATTTTGAAGATACAGAGTTAACTATGCAAAAAATAGCAGTTTTTGAGAGAACTAATCGTCCGATTTGAATTATTCAAAGAACTTTCTGCTTGTTTCAACAAAATAATTGCTTTTGGAAAAAACAATTTTTTGTTTCTAATTATTTTAAAAAAAAATGTTTGTATATCGAAAATAATTCAGATTTTAATTTTAATTCTGTTCTAATATAGGTACTTTAAACAAATAATTTCAACTTTGCAATTCAGTTTTTATAATTCTTATAAATATTAAACAATGTTATAATATTTATAAAAATCTATTTGAAAACATTTAATATTACTCGATCATTTCGTTACGGTACGAGAAGTTCTAGCAATTTACCTTAAAATACGATGCCATACAGCACTAGTTTATTAATGTGATCTAATTTATTGCAATTTATGTAAAACAAATTAATAATTGTGTGTAAGTTTAAAAATTACTCGTTTTTATCATTTATTTGAACAGTGATTGGAACTTAAGGATTTACTTAAACTGTTGTGATAATTTATTGGCCTATTCTGCCCCAAATTAGACAAACGTTGTGGCAAGGCTATGTTACGTAGCGCTTCTTATAGAAAATGGTAAAAATACCGTCAAAATGCTACTTCACTGATATGTTACTAAGCCATATCACAAAGATGCAGTTGTGATACAATTGTTTTTTTTTTTGAACGCTTGACTGCACGGCAACCACATGACATTATGACAGTATTTAGTACCATCTTGTATGAGAAGCACTACGTAACAGCTCATTTGTGGCATTGGTCTATTTTACGGCGGAATCGAGCCCTTACTAATTACGTAGCTTTATTATAGATTTACCAGTTCCCATCTCCATGTAATCTATTTGATTATTACAATATCTGTAATAGTGTAAAACTAAATATAATTTTTTATTCTATTGCAGGTTGCTCTGCGCCGGCAGCAAGCTCAAGAAGAAAGCGAAGCGCGCGAGCTTGGTCTGTTGTACACAGCCGGCGGAACTGGTACGACAGGGTCGCAATCGCTCACAGGGCCCCAGACGACGACCGTGCCGTCGGTGCCCCCTACTGCAGGAAATGTATCGCCAGTGAGGGACTCGGTCAACGTATCGTCGAATTTGAAATACCCGACACACAGTGAATCTCAACGTACAGAGTACCAAAGTTCGGAACACGATAGCGAACCTCCCAGCCCAGGTAAGAGGAAGAAAATGACAATTATTTTATTAACTATATATATTAACTTCCCGAAGTAGAAGTTGTTTTCGCCAACAAATCCGATTTGCTAATTTTATGTTTTCACGGCGTTTTAAGTCATTCCAAAGAAATTGAGACGGAATTAGTAGAAAGTATGTGTGTGTGTATGTGAGCCAATTTTTCAATCTTTCGTCCACGTTTTCTCGTAAACGGCTGGATCGATTTCAATTTTTTTTTTAAATTGATTGGATGTGATTCAATAAGGACTCACTTAGCTAGTTTTGTACAAAACTAAGCTGAACAGTTTGTTAGCAATTGGCATAAAAAAGTGAAAAAAATTCGTCTTAGTACGAAAATCTGAATTGATATAAAAAATTCAGAAACTGCTCGAAAAATATTGTTCGCGTTAATTGGTTTTTCGTAAAGATTCACCAAGCCATTTCTACGAAATTAAAAATTAGACATTTTCTTTCACGATTTTGATAAATTTCCTTATGATGATAGAGGTCATGGCCATATCAAAGATACTAAAATTCTATGAATCCATCACGACTAGTGGTGTAATTTTTAAAAATCATTTATGTTTGAAAACATATGATTGTCCAAAGTTTTATCAAAAGTCGTTTTTGCAATGTGCTGAGTCAAAATTTGAATTTTGTCATCGTTTTCTCAAAACCGGCTGAACAAATTTGACAAATATTAAAGCCATTGAATTAAGGGACACAACTAGTGTGAAATTTTCAAAAAATCAATTTTTCCATATTTCGATAGGTTATACCTTTAAAAATAACATACCAAAATTAAATCGATATCTTAAATAGTTTTTGAGTCACAGCCATTTAAAGAGTATATATAGTATATATTGGCAGTCCAAAAACGACCAAAATTTTGGGTAAAATTCGACTTTTTTTTAAAACGCAGCCATTTTGTAAATTTTTGATTTTTTTTATAGTAGGTCATTTTACAGACAACATTATTTAGTTTTACGAGATTTTTGTTTGTTAAATTTCATCCACGTAGAAGGCCGGAATCACTGCAGCAGTGAAGGGTCTTTTTTCGCGCCGTTGAAGATCGAGAATAACTCAAAAAATATTTAATTTTTTTCTTCAAAAATTTTACTATGTATTCTTAAAACATGTGTAAATATATTCTTAAAATTTTGAAATGATTGATAAAGTTTTTTTTAATATAAATTTCCAAAAAAATACCTTTTTTTAAGCGGTTACACTAGCTGTGTTCCTTAATTCAATAAGGAGGATTCGTGATTAGGTTAGCGATTCCATCGGCCAAGACGTTTCTTTCAAATTAGCAAAAAAGTGCATTTTCGGTAACCAATTTCGCAAAAATCTTGTGATCTCAAGTTTATGGTTTGTCCATTGTCCACAGAAAATAATTAATATTTATCAAATAGATTCTTTATATCAGTGCCACCTGATGAGCAGTCTACAAAACTTCTCTAATTTTGTAAAAAATGTTACCATTAGTTTAAAAATGATTAAATAATATCAAGAACTACACCTCATAATCGTAATCTTGCCAGATAGCAGATGCTTAATCTGTCACAAAATAATTTATTAAGTTGTTCGGGCGTTTTTAATGAAATTTAACAGTGCGACAAAGTTCATGCACTAAACAGACCGAAGCAAATTGGTTGAATTATATAAATTCAATATATTGAATAATGGGCGCTTTTAGGATATACAAGCACGTGTGTGTGTGCACTATAATTAATAAAATTGCAGATATTATGAATGTGTTTGAGAGATATCAATTAGAAATCGCATTGATTGGTTTCTAGTGAAAGCGAAAATTTTATTTTCAAAATTAACTGTTAAAATTTTTATTGATATCGCTAAGTCACAATTTGGGATGATTAAGTCAACTTGCCTTAAGATAAAATGCCACTTACGCCTATTTAAATCTACATACAATTATTCTGTTTCTACAGTGAGATTTTTGAAGAATATAATAATTTTACATCTCGTACCATATGATATTCATTAGAATTATCTACCTCATCAGCGTTTTCATTAAAGCAATTTAGATTGACCCTTCCGATGCGTGGAATACTAATGTTTTGTAGGCGTTTTGTACGCCAACTCGTTTTATTATATTGTATTTCGTTCATAAATGGGGCGGAGAATATGACTCGAGATGGAGACATTTTAGCATTCTATCACGTTTATTTGCCGAATGCTGAGACAATTTTATTGGCAATAACCGCGAAGCGCTCATCAAGGAATTTGCTATAACCAGGGGATGGTTTCTCGTATGTACAAAGTGATAATAAATTATTTTGTCAATAAGATACTACATCTCGAAAATATTTAAATTTAAACTAGTTGGTATTGGTATTTTGCCTTAAGGCAAGTTACATGAACTTCCCCATATGTTTAAATAATCGACTTAATCAATAAAAAATAAATTAATTTATGAGTGATTAAAGTATGAAAACGAACGAACACGTTAACTCGGAATATTTTTTAAGAGCAAATTTTATAATTGAACCAGTTCAAAATAAACAATTTTTATAATTGAACCAGTTTCCGTAGGACTTTAATGGTTTAGTATGTTCATTAAGATCAAGTACTCTATCGTTATACCAAGTAAATCGTCCAATTTTATATTTAACACAGGTTAAAAAAACTACTTATTTTCTCAAACTTTGATGATTTTTTAAAATTAAACTACATGTTGTAAGACCGTTTCAGTAAGTTCTATAAGACCATTGCCAAAAAAGGTTCCATAAAAATCGGCTCAATTTTTTATTCAACAGTTTTTTACAAGAAAACGGCTCCGTAGATTTTAGATGATAGTCCTTATCGAGAAACATCAAATGGCTTTTAAATTTCTGAAATCGGTTCAGGCGTTTTTGAGAAAACGTCGATTTACGGCAAAAAATCTGTTCACATACACATTCACACACACACGTACTTTTTCCAAATTTGGTCTCATTCGATTCAGAATGGCTTGAAACGTCGAGAAAACATAAAATTAGCGAATCGAATTTTTTTATGAAAACATAAACTTCTCCTTCGGGAAGTTAATAAATATGAGTCAAAAGCAATTACCATTTTATGTTTGAAAATTTTCAGCAAATAGAACTATTACATTTTCTATAATGACGTTATTAGCAGATTATCCTTAATTAGATATTGCAGCAATGTTTTTCGTGTCCGATTATCCCACATATTGTTCTCATATATAATATAGTTATAAGGTAATATGCTAAACTAATTATTAGTTAAATTAATTCTACTAACTTACTGTATGTTCTTTTTGTCTTTATAAGCCTTTATAAGTCCTTTCGCCCTTATAATATAAAGCCGACAATATATCAAACGTCCTGATTCGTATCTAGATTTCTGTGAACCGGAACTTTGTAATCTTACTTGTGAATTGGATAAACTTTGCGATCAAAGAAAACAATTTGGAGTCGGTGTCAGCTTACCCTGGCTTTCCCGCTCGATTTCCCGTTTTCCGTATGCGATACCGTGTAAGATCACGTTTGCCGGCGGTAGAGATTTCCCGACACGGGAAATTGTGTTTCAGAAACTGAAGGAAATTGTACGAATTGCTAAAGTATAATTATTATTTATATATCACATATGTCAAATAACTGAGAGATTTTTTATTTCTGAAGTAAAGCAGAAGAAAACTCTATAATGCCTCTATAATTTAGTTATTTCAATTTTAATTACCTTGTACAAATTATTTAAAAAATCTAAATCGAAAGACCGATAATTGCTTCATTTCGTCAATGGACCAATTTATAAGTGAAAAATAAATATAGTTAAAAAATATAAAAAATTGAAAAGTATGAAATTAAATTTGAGAAAAGTATATAAGTAAATTAAGAGCAGTGCTAAAACTAAAAAATAAAATCAAAATAAATTGAGAGTAGAACAACGTAAATAAAGGAAAATACTATCAGAATAAATTAAAATTAGGAAATTGATTCGTGCAAAGTAATATCAAAATAAAATTAGGAGCAGAGCATAAATTAGAATATCATCAATTAGGAGTAGAGCAACTTAAATCAAAAAGTATACCACCAATTGAAACCTTACATTAAGAATCACAAATTATTCATGTACTTTATCTTGGGTTTTGCATAAAATTTGATATATCAATAAAATAATCTAATGCCAAATTTAACATACCTGAACTTTGATATAAAAAAATAATTTGATATATTTCTGAAGTAAATGTAAGAGAACCCTTAAATTCTTTCAGAACTTGTCATTTATAATTTAATTACCTTGCATAAATTATTTATTTTGAAAAATCTAAAATTTGTTTATGATCTGGAAGACAAATACAGTTAAAGAACACAATAGGATTGCAATTCTGTAAGGTTGGTTTTTCAACATCTGCAGAAAGTGGATTTATTCTGTTTGGATAGTTGATAATATCTGAAAAACATGAGTTTTTCAATCGATTTCACGAGTTTGCGAATACTTTTTATCTTAGTAAACTCCTAATTTAATGTTGATAAATACTTTCTTTGTTTAACATATTTTTTCTATATGCTTGTTATAAGAACTCATAAGAATATTAATTAATAAGTAATTAATTATTTCAATAATTTCATGTAAATTTATACGCTCATCTCTTTAATTCTAATTAAAATATAAATAAATTTAAGTTAATAAAATAAATCATATAACATTTTGTAAAATATTGTTACTTTTTGTTAAATGCGCTTTCTATTACTACCCTGTTTCAATAATATGTCGAGATCGGATTATATCGTTGACACTTATGTAACAACGCTTTATATTAGAAGGTATAATATACATTCGACATCTGAAAAAACTCACAAAAAATCTCAAATGATTTATAGATTTATACGACGTCTTTTGTGCAACGCGATCCGGAATAATATTACAGTGTCAGTTCATCAGATTTCAGATGAAAAAAGTGTGAATGAAACTTGCAATTAGATTAAAATAAATCTTTTGAAGATTGTAGGTCGTGTTATTTGCCGTGCTTTTGAT